AATAATAATAATAATAATAATGAGTGTTGTTTAAGGCTTTCATGGCTGGAATCACTGGGTTGCTGTGAGTTTTCTGGGCTGTATGGCCATGTTCCTGATGTTTCTCCCACATCTATGGCAGCCATCCTCAGAGGTTGTGAGGTCTATGTATTGTCGAAGGCTTTCATGGCCAGAATCACTGGGTTGTAGGTTTTTTCAGGCTACATGGCCATGTTCTAGAGGCATTCTCTCCTGACGTTTCGCCTGCATCTATGGCAAGCATCTTCAGAGGTAGTGAGGTCTGTTGGAACTAGGAAAAAGGGGTTTATATATCTGTGGAATGACCAGGGTGGGACAAAGGACTTTTGTCTGCTGGAGCTAGGTGTGAATGTTTCAACTGACCACCTTGATTAGCATTTGATTGCCTGGCGGTGCCTGGAGCAATCTTTTGTTGAGAGTTGATTAGATGTCCTTGTTTGTTTCCTCTCTGTTGTTGTACTGTTCTAATTTTAGAATTTTTTAATACTGGTAGTCAGATTTTGTTCATTTTCATGGTTTCCTCCTTTCTGTTGAAATTGTGGTCAGTTGAAACATTCACACCTAGCTCCAGCAGACAAGAGTCCTTTGTCCCACCCTGGTCATTCCACAGATATATAAACCCCCTTTTCCTAGTTCCAACAGACCTCACTACCTCTGAGGATGCTTGCCATAGATGCAGGCGAAACGTCAGGAGAGAATGCCTCTAGTCTAGAACATGGCCATATAGCCCGAAAAAACCTACAACAACCCAGTTGTGAGGTCTGTTGGAAACTAGGTAAGTGAGGTTTATATATCTGTGGAATAATGTCCAGGACGGGAGAAAGAACTCTTGTCTACTTGAGGAAAGTGTGAATGCTGCAATTGGCCAGTTTGATAAGCACTGGATGGCCTTGCAGCTTCAAAGACTGGCTGATTGCTGAGTAGACATTCAATGCTAATCAAGGTGGTCAGTTGCAACATTCACACTTGTCTCAAGCAGACAAGAGTTCTTTCTCCTGCCCTGGACAAACTATGAAAATGAATGAAATCTGGCTAAAATAGTATAATAATATAATATATTGTTTGTATGTATGTATATGTGTGTGTGTGTGTGTGTGTGTGTGTGTGTGTGTGTGTGTGTATATATATATATTGTAAGCTGCTCTGAGTCCCCTTCGGGCTAAGAATATAATAAATAAATAAATAAATAAATAAATAATAAAAACTCTAAAATCAGGACAGTAAATAAAGAGCAGCACTCAAAAAACAGGGTAATTCCTGACATGAATCAATCAGGGCCAGCTAACGCCTCCCAACAAAGGATTCCCCCAGGAAGGAAGCAGCCAGACCGTAAAGCTGCAAGGTCATTTAATGCTAATCAAGGTGGCTATTTGCAACATTCACACTTGCCTCCAGCAGACAAAGAGTTCTTTCTCCCATCCTGGACATTATTCCACAGATATATAAACCCCACTTGCCTAGTTTCCAACAGACCTCACATCTCTGAGGATGAATACTACTAATATGAACACAAATACTACCAATAATACTAATAATAATACTACTAATAATAATGTGGACTTTTGAGCTCCTTTGAGACCAATGGCATTTGGTTTCAAGACAGTGAGAAGTAGAGATAAGCTTCCACTGCACTCGCTGCCGGGCTCCAGTGGGAAGTTATTTTGCAAATCTGGAGCATGAGACGCAACGGCATTCCCCTTCGACACAGTTCAAACATCACATGAGGTCTCAGCCTCTGATGGAGAGGAACTGAAATCTCCTCTTCTGCCACAATCCTGCCCACGTTCCTCCCGACTGCCATCAGATTGCAGATGGGACCAAATGGGGAGGGCGGGCCAATATTCCAGAAGACAGGATCAGGATACAAAAGGACGTCTGCAGATTAGAAAGCGGATTGGACAAAACCAACACAATGAATGTCAACACGGAGAAGTGTAGGATCCTTCCCTTAGGCAGATAAAACAAAATGAACAAAATGAACCATCTGCACAGGATTCCGTACTTTGCACTTTAACAACACAACCATTCCATGCTAAGGCTTCCCGCCAAAATGGAACTGTGGAGGAGGGTCTACTGAACAAGCCAGTACCTGCCGCATACCAGTACTGCCATCTGTTGAGGAGTTATGAAGGTCAGAGAATCATAGAGGGTCAGAGAATCATAGAATCCTAGAGTTGGAAGAGACCTCGTGGGCCATCCAGTCCAACCCTGCCAAGAAGCAGGAAAAACACATTCAAAACACCCCCGACAGATGGCCATCCAGCCTTTGTTTCAAAGTCTCCAAAGAAGAAGCCTCCACCATTCTCCGGGGSAAAGAGAGTATGAATCCTAGAGTTGGAAGAGACCTCGTGGGCCATCCAGTCCAACCCTGCCAAGAAGCAGGAAAAACACATTCAAAGCATCCCCGACAGATGGCCATCCAGCCTTTYTTTCAAAGTCTCCAAAGAAGGAGCCTCCACCATACTCTGGGACAGAGAGTATGAATCCTAGAGTTGGAAGAGACCTCGTGGGCCATTCAGTCCAACCCCGGCCAAGAAGCAGGAAAAACACATTCAAAGCACCCCCGACAGATGGCCATCCAGCCTTTGTTTCAAAGCCTCCAAAGAAGAAGCCTCCACCATACTCTGGGACAGAGAGTATGAATCCTAGAGTTGGAAGAGACCTTGTGGGCCATTCAGTCCAACCCTGGCCAAGAAAAACACATTCAAAACATCCCCGACAGATGGCCATCCAGCCTTTGTTTAAAAGCATCCAAAGAAGGAGCCTCTACCATACTCCAGAGCAGAGAGTATGAATCCTAGAGTTGGAAGAGACCTTGTGGGCCATCCAGTCCAACCCTGGTCAAGAAGCAGGAAAAACACATTCAAAAGTTATATGTGAAAAAGATCTTGGGAGTCTTAAGAAGTTGAACATGAGCCAAGAGGATAATGCAGCAGGTCAAAAAGGCCAATGCGATTCCTTTAGTTTCACAACCCAGTGTGTCTTTATGAGTTCCCTGCAAATAACGTGCTCCTATTTTCATCTCATTAGAGTTTCTAACTTTTTATCCTGTACATGTGGCCTGCCCACTGTTACTGCAACTGTGTTTTTTATTTATTGTAATGTTATTTTGTTATTGTATTCATTTTTTCCTTTTGATGATGTTGCTTGTTGTTCATGGTTTGGTTTTATTTTGATGTAATATGTTGTTCGGGCTTGGCCCCTTGTAAGCCGCTCCAAGCCCCCATCGGGGAGATGGTGGCAGGGTGTAAATAAGGTTATTATTATTATTATTACTTACTTAGGTGATCCTTCGTTGGCCGAGTAGGATAGTCTTCCAAGAGCAGTGTGTTGACTCCAATGGCATTGCAGGTTATAGTGACATGTTCAAGAGCCCTGCCAATGTCCTCCACAAAGATCACACTGCCCACCACCCAAGTGAAGGCTTTCGTAGGGGACAATTTAATCCTAGATTTTATGTGTTTTCTCCACCACAGACATCCCAGTGTTTCTGACTCTCTCCATTGGTGTGGAATTTGCATGACCCCGCCCATTGCCTTTCCCCTAACCCTTTCCTATTCTTTCTATGGCACACAGCCAACAGAGGAATTGATCAGCAACAGAACATACTAGAGAGATTTGGGGAGAATTCACCAGGATGTATAGGAGTTGTAGGTACTGGGATGTATAGTTCACCTGAATTCTAAGAGGACTCTGAACTCCACCAATGATGGAGCTGGTACTAACTTGGCATACAGAACCCCCATGACCAAAAAAAACAAAACAAAACACTGGAGGTCTTTGGAGAGATTTATGGGAGTTGTAGTTTACCTACATCCAGAGCGCACTATGAACCCAAACAATGATGGATTTGGACCAAACTTGGTATGCATACCCAATATGCCCAAATTTTGATCCTCGTGGGTTTTGAGGGGAATTCACTTGGACATTCTGGAGTTGTAGGTAGTGGGATTTATAGTTCATTCACTGGACCAAATTGGGCACAAATATCTGATATGTCCACATTTGAATACTGTTGGGGTTGGGAGGGATTGATTTTATCATTTGGGAGTTGTAGTTGCTGGGATTTATAGTTCACCTACAATCAATGAGCACTCTGAACTCCACCAAAGATGGAATTGGACCAAACTTGGCACACAGAGCCCCCACAACCAGCAAAAAATACTGGCAGTATTTGGGAGAAATTCACCTTGATTTTGGGGGAGTTGTAATTCACCTACATCCAGAGAGCATTGTGAACGCAAACACTGATTAATCTGGACTGAACTTGACACATATACCTGGTATGCTGAAATTTGATTACTCGAGAGGTTTGGGAGAGATTAACCTTGAGTTTTGAGAGATGTAGTTCACTTACAACCAGAGAAACTATGACCCCCATCAACAATGGACGTGAATCAAACTTGGTGCACAGAATCCCCATGACCAACTGAACCTATTGTAGGGGTTTGAGGGGAACCCAAACAATCATGGATCTGGAGGTCTTTGGAGGGATTTATGGGAGTTGTAGTTCACCTACATCCAGAGCGCACTATGAATCCAAACAATGATGGATCTGGGCCAAACATGGCATGCATACCCAATATGCCCAAATTTGAATACTGGTGGGTTTTGAGGAGATATGTAAAAATATATACTAGTAGTAAAAATAGTAATAGTAATGTTGTTTAAGTTATTCTTCTATGTCATTTCAGACTGTTAGATTCTCATAGCCCCGAAGGAGAAATGTGCCTTTATATGGTTTTGAAACTAACTGAAGAGCAAAACGGATGTGAAGCAGACGGAAACAACACCAGAAACACTCCTGAAATCGAAAAAGAGATGTACTTTAAAAATAAAAACACCGTCTAACTTTCTCAATGGTTGACTTCACATGTGATGGAAAAAACAGTTACTGAGACCGTTCAAGCGTTCAGTTTGTCTCTTGTAGCAAAACATTGTACTATTGTCCATAAAAGAAAAAAAGACAGTTCAAGCAGGCATTAATTAACTTTCATTTATTTCCAAAAATCAAACGATTTACGCATTCCTATACAGACAGGCTTAAGGTGATGGGTGCTTTCCTATGGCTCCTCAAACCCTCCTCGTTGCTCAAGTGTTCTCTTGCGCCTGAGGCTGGTTTCGGATGCAATAGTCCTGGATTTCTGCAAAAAGGTGAAGGAAACGGAGGTGAAATGTGACCCTCTTGCTTTGTGATAGTTTTGTATTAGAGACTAGAGGTCTATACATAATAGCCTGTGACTCAGTGGAGCCCTCGGTGGCGCAATGGGTTAAAGCCTTGTGCCGGTAGGACTGAAGACCAGCAGGTTGGAGGTTCGAATCCGGGGAGAGCACAGATGAGCTCCCTCTGTCAGCTCCAGATCCCCATGTGGGGACATGAGAGAAGCCTCCCACAAGCATGGTTAAACATCAAAATATCTGGGTGACCCCTAAGCAACATCCTTGCAGACGGCCAATTGTCTCACACCAGATGCGACTTGCAGTTTCTCAAGTCGCTCCTGACACACACACACATACACACAAAAGTGGAAGTCCAAATTTATTTATTTACTATATTTATATCCTGCATTTCTCAAACCCGAAGGGGATTCAAGACGGCTTGCTTATAGGCAACTATTCAATGCCTTAAGAGCAACTCCTCAGGGATATTAGATCAATCCCCTTCCTCCTTACCTTCTGCAAGTGAGTGAAAAGTGGCTTTGTGACCAAGACTTTAGAGAACTTGTGCAATAGATAGACTTGGAACAATGTGCAATGACTGTTGGAACAGCCCAGTTTAACTCTAAATGCATTGTTTTTAAATGTTTTAGTTGTTTTGAATGTACTTTTTAATTTAATTTTAATATTTATTTAAGTGTACATTGTGTTTTAAGGTCTATGTGTAAATCCACCTTAAGTCCCCTCTGGGGTGAGGGAGGCAGTGCAGAAATGTCATAAATAAATGAACATACAATTAAAATAAACATTTAAATTGAATTTAAAAATTAATATACATTAAAGCATTTTAAAAACATTACATCCACTATTAAAACCATGCTGTCAATAACTGTAATTCAGGGACGTTTTCAGTAGTCATTTTGGGTCATATGTGGCCCAAAGGTCGCACTTTTCTTTGTAATGTAACAAACCAGCCAAAAGGAAGGAGTGCCAATGAAAGAGAATTAAATGCCCCAAAGGCACCAGATCTGGTCTAAGCAGGGCCAGTCATGGTTAGGACTTGGATGGGAGACTGTAGGCTCTATTTCAGAGGGACTGCCAAAGCCATTTCTAAGGAGCCTTTGCCTGAGAAAACCCTTGACTTCCATGGGGTCCTCATAAGTCAACAGGTGACCTGAAGGCACACGTATGACTCAACTGTGGAGGATGCTGGCATTTCTGTCCCACAGCCCTTCCCCACCTTGCGGATTCTGGACTTACTTTGGATGATCTCCCTGTAGGCCAATGCGGCTGGAGAGTTTGGTGCCGCAGAGAAGAAGGACTCTCCTTTATCACAGCTTTTTCCTGGGGAGAGAGAAGGACAACTGGGCAAAGTCCACACAAAGAAGCACTCCTCTTTTAACTCAGGAACCATGGAACGAATGCTCTTGCCCCTTTCTTGTGTTTCTCAACATCTCCAGGACACATCTAAAGCCTTCAGATGGCCCAGTGGGGGAAAACAACTCATCTCATATATATTACTATATTTGTATATAGCTTGCCTGCCACATAGTACAGCACTTTAGGCAGCTTGCAAAAGTTAAATATAACATTTATATCCTACGAAGAAGGACCATGGTGGCACAGTGGGTTAAATCAATAAGCTGCAGAACTTTCTGATCGGAAGGTTGGTAGTTCGAATCTACGGACTGAGTGAGCTCCCATCGTTAGCCCCAGGTTCTGCTAACCTAGCAGTTCGCAAACATGCAAATGTGAGTAGATCAATAGGTACTGCTTCTGCGGGAAGGTAACGGCGCTCCATGCAGTCATGCTGGCCACATGATCTTGGATCCACGGACAATGCCGGCCTTTCGGCTTAGAAATGGAGATGAGCACCAACCCCCAGAGTCAGAGACAACTAGACTGAGTGTCAAGGGGCAACTTTTCCTTTACTATCCTATGAAGGTTATGAATCCCACCTAACTTCCAAGCTCCTAATTTGGCACAGCACCATTCCAAGAATCCAATAAAACAAATCTGATGGATCTGTGGATTTCTGGATGTTGCTGGAATGGAAAAGCCCCATCCGTCCTCCGCAGTGGAATTGGGTGATGAGACCTGCAGTCCAGCAACACCTGGAGGGCCAACTCTGCCCACTCTGGCAGTAAAGCAATACTCCTCCTCATAGTCAGGAGTCCCCAAGTTACAAACAAGATAGATTCTGTAGGTTTCTCCTTAAGGTGAATGTGTGTGCAAGTTGGTCTGTGACATTGTTAAGCTTTGGATCACACAAGGAAGGGGGAACGCCCCTGTGGTCTTTCCTTTGCTGTCTGTGCCCCTGTTCATAAGACATTACCTCACTTTCTGTCTCTGGGATCATTGGATATTGAAAAAAAATCACTTATTATGGAAAAACAGATTGGAGATAAAGCTTCGGTTCAGAACTCTTTTCTCCATGATAGTAACTCTTTCAGGAACGACTTCCCATTCCAAGGGGTAGCTTTCACTCACTTCTGTTCTCAACTGTGGCCTATTTATAAGTTGGATGTTTGCAACTCGGGCACTGCCTGTATATTCTTTTGCATTACATCCCAGATTCCAAGACCCAAAGCAAAGAGGAAATGTGCCTTGGAGATGCCACATTTACCTATTTGAGGGTCCAGAGGCACTTTCCCCAGGAGAGGCAGGTTGTAAGTATGGCACATGGCCTCTGCCCCTCCGGTGGTTGGCGGGAAGATCTGCGACTCTTTCTGCAAAACAAAGGCAGGGTTAAAACACATTCTGCAATCTGAAAAGAAAGGAAAGCAAGTACATGCAAACCCTTCCTATCAAAATATTCAACTCTGGCCTTATTGTGTTACTAGATTTGCCTCTACATGCAACACAGAGGAGAAAGAATGAAGCTACTCCAGAAGTAATAATAATAATAGTCATGATGGTAATTATAATAACAATAATGATAATGAATTACTCGCCTCCCTTTTAGACTTGAAACGAGGCACAACATAGTCAAAATACATCCATAAAATCACATGTTGAAATATAGCTGTTGAAGGCTTTCATGGCCAGAATCACAGGGTTGATGTGAGTTTTCCGGGCTGTATGGCCATGTTCCAGAGGCATTCTCTCCTGACGTTTTGCCTACATCTATGGCAGGCATCCTCAGAGGTTGTGAGGTCTGTTGGAAACCAAGCAAGGGAGGTTTATATATCTGTGGAAGGTCCAGGGTGGGAGGAAATGTGAATGTTGCAACTGGCCACCTTGATTAGCCTTGCTGGAGGCAAGTGTGAATGTTGCAATTGGCCACATTGATTAGCCTTGAATAGCCTTGCAGCTTCAAAGTCTGGCTGGTTGCTGCCTGGGGGCATCCTTGATTGGGAGGTGTTAGCTGGTCTTGATTGTTTCATGCCTTGAATTTTCCTGTTTTTTGAGTGTTGTTCTTTATTTACTATCCTAATTTTAATACTAGTAGCCTGATTTTGTTCGTTTTCACAGCAGAGCACTTGATGAACCAACCTGGACACAGCATATTATTTGAGAACACAGAAGTGCTGGACCACTCTAACAACCACCATGTCAGACTACACAGAGAAGCGACTGAAATCCACAAGCATGTGGACAATTTCAACAGAAAAGAGGAAACCATGAAAATAAACAAAATCTGGCTGTATCAGTACTAAAAAACTCTAAAATCATAACAGTAAATAAAGAGGAACACTCAAAAAACAGGAGAATTCCAGGCATAAAACAATCAAGGCCAGCTAACACCTCCCAACAATGGATGCTCCCAGGCAGCAACAAGCCAGGCTTTGAAGTGGCAAGGCTATTCAAGGCTAATCAAGGTAGCCAACTGCAACATTCACACTTGCCTCCAGCAGACAAGTTCAATCAGGGCCAGCTACCTCCCAACAAAGGATTTCCCCAGGCAGAAACCAGCCAGGCTTTGCGATGGTAATCAAGGAGATGAATTGCAACATTCACACTTGCCTCCAACAGACAAGAGTTCTTTCTCCCACCCTGGACATTATTCCACAGATATATAAACCTCCCTTGCCTAGTTTCCAACCAACCTCACAACCTTTGAGGATGCCTGCCATAGATGTGGGCGAAACGTCAGGAGGGAATGCTTCTGTAACATGGTCAGACAGCCTGGAAAACTCACAGCAACCTATTGTTAATATGCAACCATAAAAGCGTGTATTAGTCCCTGATTTGAATCAAGATTGGAACAAAGTCAGAAAGAGGATTCTGACTCAAGGCTTAATTTAAGGGATAGTTTCCCCACCCATCCCTGCAAAGGACACCAGTCACACCTGGGTTTTAAAATATACATCTCTATACCACATTACCTTGCACTTTGGGCATACAAAGCCACTCATATTTTCAACCACGCCGACGATGGGCAGCTTCACTTTACGACAGAAGTTGACCTCCTTTCGAACATCCTGAAGCGCCACCTCCTTTTAATAAAGAAACAAAGCGAATGGGGTTTGAAAGCAGCAGAATGGCATCAAGCGACTGTATATTTATGGCCAGAGGGGAGAGAAAAACTCCTGTGGGATTTTAGAGGGAGAATTAAATGCAGGTTTAGGGGTCGCTCTGAAAAAACATGTATCTTGTTTTAAAAACAAGAAATTAATGATATTATATAGCAGGAATAGGCAAACTTCATCCCTCCAGGTGTTTTGGACTTCAACTCCCACAATTCCTATCAGCCAATAGGAGAGTTTCTCAACCCTATAGGGGACTCAAGGCAGCGTACATATATAATCATTCAATGCCATGTAAACATACATACAGTAAAATAAATATATATTTAAAACAATCATTAAAAGCTAATCAAACTGTAAAACAGTTATTAAAATCACGTTATCTAGAATCGTAATCATTGCACCGGGACTGTGGCACAGCTGTCTGAGTGTCAGCTGCATTAAGATCACTTCTGACCACAAGGTCATGAGTTGGAAGCCAGCCCGGGTCTGAGTGAGCTTCCGACCAATTGTGTAGCTTGTTGTCAACCTTTGCAACCCAAAAGATAGTTGCATCTGTCAAGTAGGAAAATTAGGTGCCACCAATGTGTGGGGAGGCTAATTTAACAAAATTTATGAGGCCATAAAAAAGACTCCAGCAAAAGCATGCGGGGAATGCGGAAGTACTTCATCAGTGTCGCAGATGGACGCTGAAAGCAACAGCTCCCTTGGCGGCCAGAAAAAGTTAAATAGCTTCTGTCTGTTTGTCTACATCTGTTGTGTGTCTTTGGCATTGAATGTTTGCCATATATGTGTACACTGTAATCCGCCCTGAGTCCCCTGCAGGGTGAGAAGGGTGGAATATAAATACTGCAAACAAACAAACAAACAAATAAATAAATATCATTGCACTAGTGTTCCTTCACTACTTCGCAGTTCGCTTTTCGCGGACTCGGTGTTTTGCAGTTTTTCAATAAATCATGTATATATTTACACTGGAGCTGCACTTCTTGCCACGCGCATTGTGGGAGATGCCAGCTTGGGAAGCCGCCTCCTGCAGGCGTCCTACTCGCCCATCTCCTCCTCCTCGCCTGCTTCCTCCTCCTCTTCCTCACTCTCCCCTGCAGATGGGAACCCTTTTGGGTTGAAAGTGGAAGAGGAGGAGGAGGAAGAGAAGAAAGCCATGCCGTGACGGCCTTTGCAAAGTGCCGCCTCCTCTTCCTTCCTCTTCTCCTCCTTTTCTCCTCCCTCCTTCTCTCTCTCTTCCTTTCCCTCCCTTTTGCCCTTCTCTCCTTCGCCTACTGGAGTGTGGGACCTGATGGCAGCCTCTTTCTGTTTGCCTGTCTTCCTTCTTCCCTTCCTCTCTTTCTCCCTTGCACGCTTCTTCCTTTCTGGCTCTCCGGCCACAAGCTCCGCCCGAGATGAAGAGGAGGAGTAGGAGTAGGAAAGGGAAGGCTCGGCCTTTTTCCCTCTTAGATGGTCCTTCCTGCCTCTGATGCACGACGATACTGGGGCAACAGCTCCCACCACTGGGCAGGGGAGGCTGCCAAGGAACTCTTCCCCACATTTGGTCATTACATCACAAGACCAGCCCGGTGCAGGGAGATTGTGTGTATATAGCATCCCTACTTTGCGGATTTCCACTTTTCGCGGGTGGTCCTGGAACGTAACACCCGCCATAAGTGAGGGAACACTGTATTCCATAATTCTCTTGTGGGTTACTAATTGAATGCTTGATCCCACATCCACATCTTTAGCCTTTTCCTGAAGGTCAGGAGGGAGGGGGCTGATCTGATTTCATTTGGGATGGAGTTCCAAAGCTGATGGGCCACCACTGAGAAGGCCCTCTCTCTCATCCCCACTAGTCATGCCTGTGAAAGAGGCAGGACTGAGATCGTAACATCCTAGCTGGCTCAAAGAGGGAGATACATTCAGACATTCATTCTTTTACCCTTCCCGACTCCCCGCATTCTATTAGTAACCAATATTGTACAAAGAAAAAAATGGTGCCTGGGGGGTGGTGATGATCAGGGCGCCATCGATGCCAGCGGCGCTGAGATACTGCACGACGGAGAGGTGCTCGTCGGAGGTCCCTGGCGGAGTATCGACTATCAGGTAGTCAATGTCTCCCCAGTCGACGTCGCGAAGGAACTGCTTGATCATCCCTGGAAACAGGAAACAGAAGCTCAGAACCCACCTAAAAGAATTGTGCATGCATGTGCCTTCAAGTTGTCTACTGGCCTATGGCGGCCCCACGCATTTCAGAGGTTCTTCTTGTCTGTGATGGGCTCATCTAAGGGCAGTCATGGGCAACCTTTGGCCCTCCAGGTATTTTGGACTCCAACTCCCACAATGTTGAGGTCCCAAACATCTAGAGTAGTGTTTCTCAAATTTCTACATGCTGCGACCCCTGAATATCGTTCCTCATGTTGTGGTGACCCCCAACCATAACGTTATTTCTGTTACTACTGTAATTTTGCTACTGTTACGAATCATAATGCAAATATCTGATATGCAGGATGTATTTTCATTCACTGGACCAAATTTGGACACAAATATCCGATACCCCCAAATTTGAATACAGGTAGCCTTGGGGGGAGGGATTCATTTGGGAGTTGTCGTTGCTGGGATTTATAGTTGACCTACAAAAAGCATTCTGAACTCCACCAACAATGGAACTGAACCAATCTTGGAACAAAGAACTCCCATGACCAACAGCAAATACTGAGTTTGGTGGGCACTGACTTTGAGTTTTGGAGTTGTAGTTCACCTACATGCAGAGAGCACTGTGGACTCAAACCATGATGGATCTGGACCAAACTTGGCATGAATATTCAATATGCCCAAATGTGAGCACTGGTGGAGTTTGGGGAAAATAGACTTGACCGTTGGGAATTGCAGTTGCTGGGATTTATAGTTCACTGACAATCAAAGAGCATTCTGAACCCCACCAACAATAGAACTGGGCCAAACTTCCCACACAGAAACCCCCATGACCAACAGAAAATACTATTTTTTCTGATGGTCTTTGGCTACCCCTCTGACACCCCCTCACGACCCCCCCAGGGGTCCCAACCCCCAGGTTGAGAACCGCTGACCTAGAGGGCCAAAGTTTGCCCATGCCTTCCTTAGGGGAACCATAAGTTGGAAATGACTTGAAGGCTGACAGCAGCAAAAGAATTGTATCATATTATGGTTTACATTTCCATTGAAAATATGAGTGCCATTCTCTTCTGCCCTCTACTGGAAGCTTCTCTGAGAATGAAAGCAATAATACTTAAATATTCTGATGGATCCTGGCCTGTATATAGTCCTGCTTTTGCTTTTTCCCCATTTGGCCATTTCAGAGAAAAAGAAAACCTACTAAGGATGTTACTGGTATGCTATAACCCTATGAAGCGTTATGGATTTCACATTAATATCTCCTTAATGTTTTGAGGCTTTGAGCATCACTACTATTACCATTGCCATGATGACCAGCTTTACTTAAAACTTGACTTTTCTCAAAAACTGGGACTCAAGGTGACTTCAGACTCTTCAGGCTACTTGTACTTGATTTCCCCTTTTCCCTTTGAGATACAAACCGTTCTTTTTGGGTCCTCTCCAAATCACAGCGTCATCTGGGCTGCTGAGCAAGAATCCCACCGACATAACGCCCAGGTTTTCTTCAACGTACTTTTGTAACAAAGAGAGAACAAAAACTCATCTCAGAGTGGAAAAAAAGACACAGTGTGGATTACAAATATTGTGGATTCTGTACCTGAGGCGTCTCTATCTTTACTGCCTTTATTCTGCATATGAAGCCCTTTATGTGTATTACACTGGAATAAGCGAAGCAGAAATATTAAAAATTAACTGGGTATTTTTAATTACAAGTACGGAAAGGGTTAAATGGATGCAATAACTCAACAAAAGCTGCAGTTCTATATAAGCAGGCATGCCTGTAGCTTAGTAGGCCTCTGTGTTAGTTTGCCTCAGTGGGAGAAAGGTCTCAGTCTGTGAGAAGGCCTCACCGTGCGAGGGAGGCCTCAGTCTGTTAGAGAAGGCCTCAAAGTGTGAGGGAGGCCTCAGTCTGTGAGAAGCTTCGGTGAGAGAAGCCCCAAGTTGAAGGCCTCGTGTGTAAAGCTGTGTGTAAAGCTCCTGAGTAAGTTCGTGATGAGAGGAGACTCTGTGAGAGCGAAGCTGTTTATCTGCATGAGGAAGAAGCCCAGCGTGGAAGCAAACAAGGAAGTATAAAGGACTTCTTTTGTGCTATGGAAACCTTAATCTTGTAAATAGAGCAACAATATTATTTTACTACAAAGAAAAGCCTCCTAAGGGAGATAGAACAGAAGTCTGTGTGTTTTTGTTCTTTTTATTATTTTGGGCTACTGGTGTTGGGTTAATAAGTTACTCTGCTGTAATACATAATAATAATAATAATAATAATAATAATAATAATAATAATAATTTGTCAATGTCACAATCCCAGGTGACAGCAGGATTGAAGAGAAACAACTGGAAAAGCTGACACGATATGAGGATTTAAAAAACTGCAAAGACTCTGGCACAAGCCAGTCAAGGTGGTCCCAGTGGTGATCGGCACACTGGGTGCAGTGCCTAAAGACCTTGGCCTGCACTTAAACACAATTGGCGCTGACAAAATTACCATCTGCCAGCTGCAGAAGGCCACCTTACTGGGATCTGCACGCATTATTCACCGATAAATCACACACTCCTAGACACTTGGGAAATGTCCGACGTGTGATCCAATTCAACAGCCAGCAGAGTGTCTGCTGTGGACTCATCTTGTTGTGTTTCAAATAATAATAGTAATAATAGTAATAATAATAATAATAAATTATTATTATTATTTCAAAGACTGGCACAAGCCAGTAAAGGGGTGGTCTCAGTGGTGATTGGCACACTGGATGTAGTGCCTAAAGACCTTGGCCTGCACTTAAAAACAATTGGCATGACAAAATCACCACCTGTCAGGTGCAAAAGGTCACCCTTCTTGGATCTGCATGTATTATTCGCTGATAATCACACAGTCCTAGACACTTGGGAAGTCTCCAACATGTGATCCAATACAACAGCCAGCAGAATGATCTTGTTTGCTGTGTAATAATCTTGTTGCATTTCTAATAATAATAATAATAATAATAATAATAATAATAATTTATTTATATTCCTCCCTATTTCCCTGGAAGGACTCAGGGCGGATTCCAAACATAAAAGACAAATATTCAATGGCCAAATACAACAGCAATACACCCATAGTAATGAAATTAGCAATCCAACATATAAAAACAAATTATGACTTAACAACTAAAATTAAATTTAAAAAATAACCTGTTATGTCTCAAAACATCAAGCATTGAATATTTATGGGGAGGGTTTTATGTAAATAAGCCCACTCTTCCAACTAATATAAGCAAACAACTATCAGGTAGTACAGTATCAGATATATTTTATTCAAGCTTGATGCTGCTGCAAAGAGTGTGCTCCACTCTCTTTTCCTTGAAGGCTACAGTCCACATGGCTTGCATCAGCCTATGTATGAGAACGTTAAAAAATAGACAACTCACCACTGGGGACCATCCCGAACCACTCTGGTGAACCTGAAAGTGGAAATATTGCAATAAGATATTGTTACTATGTAAAACAACAGGATGATTGAACTCTCCTATAAAGAAAGTTGTGCGGCTAAACAAGAAACCAACATATAAATGTCTAAGAGCAAGCAGAACGTCAGGCAATAAAAGAGACTTGACTAAGATGCCCTTAAACTGGGCAGAGCGGAGATATGCACAGTCAGTCAAAATACAAACCAACTCCTTTTGCTTTGTTATTAAAACAGAGGTTGAAATAGTGGGTTGCTGTGACTTTCTGGGCTGTAAGGCCATGTTTCAGAAGCACTCTCTCCTGATGTTTTGCCTATATCTATGGCAGGCATCCTCAGAGGTTGTGAGATTGAAATATATTTCTTGGGTTCACCATGAGTATTTACAGAATTGTTGATTAAGAGGGTATGAAGTATCATGTCATCCAACTGTCTAGTTTTCCAGTGACTTCCATTCTCAGCTCCTTAGAAGAACCTATAATCACATCGAAGATCCGAAGCAGTACAAACCAAAGTTGAAAAGGAAACCTTGTGTTTATACTAATTTAATTACCACTTTACCTGTCTGGCACTGCTAACCAAAGTTGAAAAGGCAACCCCGTGTTTATACTAATTTCATTACCACGTCACCTGTTTGGGTCTCTCAGGCTCCTAGCACTTCATTTGAGAGCATTAAAGTACAGGCAGTCTCCACACGTTATGAACAAGATAAGTTCTGTAGGTCTGTCCTTAAGTTGAATTTGTATGTAAGCAGGAACAGGTACATTTTTGAAGAGTAACACTAGCCTATATAAATATACATTTATTTTGTGTCAAAAACAATGCATAAATAAATAAATTAGTATAAAACTGATAAATTAGAGGGAATACAAGTAGCTAAATAATTTTTGACCAAAAAATGGGCAGCGACCACATTGTCTGTAGCTTTAAGCCAGGGGTCCTCAAACTATGGCCCGGGGGCCAGATACGGCCCTCCAAGGTCATTAACCCGGCACTCGCTCAGGGTCAACCTAAGTCTATAATGACTCAAAAGCACACAACAACAACAACAATAATCCTATCTCATCAGCCAAAAGCAGGCCCACACTTCCCATTGAAATACTAATAAATTTATATTTGTTAAGATTTTTCTTCATTTTAATTATTGTATTGTTTTTAATTTTTTTGCACTACAAATAATATATGTGCAGTGTGCATAGGAATTTTTTTAAAAAAAATATAATCCGGCCCTCCAACAGTTTGAGGAACTGTGACCTGGCCCTCTGTTTAAAAAGTTTATGGATCCCTGCTTTAAGCAGTTCTTCCTCTGTGCATGAGGCAGGGCACTGTGGGCAAGCATACATGTGCGGAGTTGTTTGTTCTGCTCCACAGTCGCACAAGGCGGAGGATTAGGTCATGCCATTTTGCCAGCTGGTCTTTTGATCTGCCCACTCCACTTCTGAGTCTGTTCAAGGACTTCCAAGTTTCTTGGTTTGCCCCTGAAGGCAGTCCCTCGTGGGGGGCCATCCAGTTGAGATTTCCTGCCCAGACAACTCTTGCTGTTGCTTGAGGAACATTAAGAGGAGTAGTTATTCTCATGAAGCTTTTCCTTGATTTGAGTCTCCTGGGAAGAGGCTGGTAGCCATACAGTGGGTGGCTTTCTCAGTGTTCAACCTTATTTCTCTCACAGTTAGAAGCAACTTTGCATCACACATTTTTTTTGGGGGGGGGGATACCAGCTGGCTTATAGAGTCTAGCAACAAGTGTAGGCAGACTTGTGCCCAAGAGAAAAATAAATAAAGGCTTTGAAAGATGTATTAAAGCCCTAAACGGTTCTGGCCCAACTTATCTATCCGAACGTATCTCGGCCTATCAGCCCACCAGGACCCTAAGATCTTCTGGGGAGGCCCTGCTCTCTATCCCGCCTGCTTCACAGGTGCGGCTGGCGGGAACGAGAGACAGGGCCTTTTCTGTGGTGGCCCCTCGGCTTTGGAATGCCCTCCCCATAGAGGTGAGATCAGCCCCTTCGCTGATGGTATTTCGAAAAAGGTTGAAGACATGGATGTTTAAACAAGCATTCGATTAATCTTGTGCAACGAAACTGATGAACAAGGATTGGTTAATCACAGACGACGAAATTGGATTGCGACTACAATTAAGAGATGCATTGGATTATTATTGGTGGCCCAATAATATTGTGTACTGTGTATGTGTTTTTATGCTTTTTTAATGGAATATTGCTGCTTGTCGTGTGTTGTAAACCGCGTTGAGTCGCCGATTTAGGCTGAGAAACAGCGGTATATAAGCACAGTAATAAATAAATAAATAAATAATATTTTCCTTTGCTACCTGTGCCCCTGGTCAGAAGATTTCACCTTTCTGTCCCTGTGATAATTGGATTTTGGAAAACGTGGCTTGTTATGGAAACAAGGATTGGAGAATAATGCTTCAGTGGAGACCCTTCAACCTTCAGAGGGGTTGATTTCTCTCACTTCCTGTTGTCTCAGCCCTGTTGCTAGCTATGAGCTGTTTGTAAGTTTCGTAACTCGGGGACTTCCTGTACTTTTAATGCTTTCGAGTGCAGGGTTAGGAACCTAAGAGACGCAAGTTCGAACTCTGCTCAGCCATAGAAACCTACTGACCACCCCACAGCTTCAGAGTAAGGCAAGAGCAAACCTCCTCTGAGTAAATCTGGCCCTAAGGCAGTGGTTCTCAACCTGTGGGTCCCCAGATGTAACACCTGGGGATGTACAGGTTGAGAACCAATGCCCTAAGATTTAGTTGTCTTAAAGACAACTTAAAGGAACTGTATTCCTGCAAGAACTTTTAAAAAGAAAAGCATTTTGTTCCACACAAAAAACTAAACACATCCAACCGCAGGTTTTCTATCAGTCACTACTTTTATACCTGTTCTCCTTCCAGGCCCATGATTTTTGGAATGGATGGCCCACAAATGTCAATGTCCAGCAGAGCAACCTAGGACAGAGGGAAGAGTCCAACAACATTGCACAACATCAGTGATCAAAGTCATTGCAAAACCACATATACATTCCAGAAATAATCATAACAATTATAATTATTGTGTTGTTAAAGGCTTTCATGGCCAGAATCACTAGGTTGCTGTGAGTTTTCTGGGCTGTATGGCTATGTTCCAGAAGCATTCCCTCCTGACGTTTCGCCTGCATCTATGGCAGGCATCCTTTGTGCATTCCAGGTAAGAAAAACAGGATTCCAGATTATATATAAAAATCATTACACACGAAGGGTTCTGGAATGGATCCCTGGCATACTATGTAAGCAAACTGTTTTTCAGTTGGAGGAATTCTCACATAGGAATGGGCCTCCTGCTTCCTTTTTTGCGACTTTGTTATCAGCAGGTGACTGCTGATAACAGAAGAATCCAAATGTTTTTAAATGGCATTGGAAGAAAGGCACTGACCTGCGTGGCTTCATCCTGAGCCAAGCCGTGTGCCAAGTGAGCGCTGAAGGTGCTCTTGCCCACGCCTCCCTTGCCGGACAATACCAGCAGCTTGTGCTTCACAGTTTTCATTTTCTCCTTGATTTCTTCAATGGCTTCAGAGTGGGGGAAAAAAACATTAAAAAGGCTAGGATACAGAATGAGGAGAATCCCTTCCTCTAGATATGACAGTTGTGAAAGATTTGGGGCCAAACTTTCTGAACAGATTCCAAAATAATCAGGAAAATAAACAAACGGAGAAGGACTTCCCAGGTCAAACCTCTGGCTGGGGAAACTACTACTACCAGAATCCCTGGCCAACGGTATGCTTCTATTCTTCCTCCTCCCCAAAAGCAGTAGCCTGAGAGGACCTAGCAAACTGAGGATTCTGGGACTTGTAGTTCCTAAAGAAGCTTCTCTTCTCCCTCTTCCCCAAAAGCAGTGACCGGGGGCCCTTCCCTGGGACAAATGGGGGGGGGGGGGAGAGTCTATATTGGGAATTGCAATCTCAAAATCATGCTTCTATTCTCTCTCCACCCCAAAAGCAGAGGCTTGAGGTGTCCTTTCAGAAGCAACTGTGGGTATTCCAGGAATTGTAGTCCAAAAAAGACATCTCTATCTATTCCCTCTCCTCCTCAAAAACAATGAACTGGCAGTTTCTCAGCTGGTAATGGAGGGCTCTGGGAAATTAGTCCCCAAAAGATGCCTTGATTCTCTCTTTTCCACAAAAGCAATGCCCCGGCAGCCCTTCTAGGGGGCAACTGGGAGAGGGATTATGGGAGTTGTAGTCCTAAAATGCCCCCGTCAAAGCAAAAAAGATGCTTTCATTCTCCCATGCTTCCCAAAACCAGTGGCTAGGACAACCTCACCATGGGGCAAACTGGGGATTCTGGGACTTGTAGTCCCCAGAGATGCTTATCTTCCCAAGCAATACCCTGGAGGTCCCTTCCTGGAGCAAATGGGTGGGATTCTGGAAACTGTAGTCCTCCTCCTCCTCCTCACCTGGGTCAGGCCCCACCAGCTTCCCCGAGGCGCAGACTCCCTGGTTGGGGCATCCCTTGCAGGCCTCGGCCTTGCCTGCCTGGTCACTGCCGGTTCCGGGGCATTCTGTGGGGGACATAAAAAAAGGATGGACCACATCCGGTTTGGAGGGGGAGAAAGGAAAAATAAATACATAAATAAATAATAAACTTTATTTTTAACCTGCCCTCTCTTCCCAAGAGGGCTCAGGGCGGCTTCCAAAGGTGAAAGGCAAAAATGGCAAACATTTAATGCCATGTGAATAACAAAATAAAACATTAAAACAAACAGTTAAAAATACTCAAATGAAACACAATAACACAATAAACCATTAAAAGAAACAGTTAAAATAGACAACTAAATATCTAGGCTAAAGAAGTTGTCCAGGTCCTAAAATGGTGCCTGGCAGTTGTGACTATCTGGATGAGGGTGAACAAATTGAAATTGAATCCAGACAAGACAGAGGTACACCTGGTCAGTCATAAGACAGAACAGGGTATAGGGTTACAGCCTATGTTGGACGGGGTTATACTCCCCTTGAAATCACAGGTTCGTAGCCTGGGATTCATCGCTGAGTCTGGAACCCCAGGTTTCAGTAGTGTCCCGGGGAGCTTTTGCACAATTAAAATTTGTGCGCTAGCTGCGCCCATACCTTGAGAAGCCAGGCTTGGCCACAGTTGTCCATGCTCTGGTTACATCTCAATTGGATTACTGCAACATACTCTACATGGGATTCCTTTTGAAGACTGCTCAGAAGCTTCAAGCAGTCCAACAGACAGGTTCCTTACTGGAGTGGCGTACAGGGAGCATACAACCCCCCCTTGCTGCATCAGCTCCACTAGTTGCCAATTTGCTACCGAGTACAAGTCAAATTTGCTACCGAGTACAAGTCTTACCTGTCCGAACACATCTCTCCCCTATGAACAATCCCGGGTGCTAAAATCTTCTGGGGAGGCCCTGTCTTGGTCCCACCTTTGTTCTAAGGCATGGCTGATGAGGGCAAGGGACAGGCCCCTCAGCTGTGGAACTCCCTTCCCAGTGAAATTAGAACGGTCGCCTTCATTTAGAAAGCAAGTTAAAACTGTGCTTAGCACAGCAGGCTAAACTGCTGTGCTGCAGAAAAATCCTGCTGATCAGAAGGTTGGCAGTTTGAGCCTGGGTCGGAGTGAGCACCCGCCATTAGCTCCAGCTTACATGCCTACCTAGCTGGTCAAAAGCAGAAATGCCTCTGTTTAAAAGCTTCTAAAGAAGGAGCCTCCACCACACAGAGAGTTCCACTGCTGAACGGCTCTCACAGTCAGGAAGTTCTTCCTCATGTTCAGATGGAATCTCCTCTCTTGTAGTTTGAAGCCATTGTTCCGCGTCCTAGTCTCCAGGGAAGCAGAAAACAAGCTTGCTCCCGCCTCCCTGTGGCTTCCTTTCACATATTTATACATGGCTATCATATCTCCTCTCAGCCTTCTCTTCTTCAGGCTAAACATGCCCAGCTCCTTAAGCGCTCCTCATAGGGCTTGTTCTCCAGACCCTTGATCATTTTAGTCACCCTCCTCTGGACACATTCCAGCTTGTCAATATCTCTCTTCAATTGTGGTGCCCAGAATTGGACACAATATTCCAGGTGTGGTCTAACCAAGGCAGAATAGAGCATGGGGAGCATGACTTCTCTGGATTTAGTTTCAATTTGGATTTAATTTAAACTAGTTAGCCCTTATCCAACCCAAAAAGGTCCTCCCGCCTCATTCCTTCCCTCTCACCCTGAGGCGGGACATCCACCAAAGGCAAGCCGTTCCCCTCCGCTGCCATGTTAGAAAATTTTAAAAAAAATCAGCTGCCGGAAGGAAATACAAGAGCACACTTCCGGTGTTGTTCCCGAGATATGGTTCCCCGCTCTCAACTTCCGGCGAACGAGGGAGTCGAACGAGTGGGATGGCCAAACTCCGCCCTCTCGAATTGTGTTACGCGTGAGCTCTTCCTTCGAGCGCGCATGCGCGTTGAGGGAGCGGCGCGCGCTGTATGTGAACGCGTTGAAAGGAAGGGGGGGGGAAGAAAAGAGCTGCTTCTGGGCGTCACGTGGCCGGTGCGGTGCTTCCCATTGGCTGCTCTGATTCTCCTCAGAAAAGTTAAGTCTGTCTTGAAACTGAAGAGCGAGAATGAGCTCCCTCTGTCAGCTCCAGCTCCCCATGTTGGGGACATGAGAGAAGCCTCCCACAAGGGTGGTAAAACATCAAAACATCCCCTGGGCAACGTCCTTTCAGGCGGCCAGTTGTCTCACACTGACTGAAGAGCGAGGATGAGCTCCCTCTGTCAGCTCCACCTCCCCATGTTGGGGACATGAGAGAAGCCTCCCACAAGGGTGGTAAAACATCAAAACATCTCCTGGGCAACGTCCTTTCAGGCGGCCAGTTGTCTCACACTGACTGAAGAGCGAGGATGAGCTCCCTCTGTCAGCTCCACCTCCCCATGTTGGGGACATGAGAGAAGCCTCCCACAAGGGTGGTAAAACATCAAAACATCCCCTGGGCAACGTCCTTTCAGGCGGCCAGTTGTCTCACACTGACTGAAGAGCGAGGATGAGCTCCCTCTGTCAGCTCCAGCTCCCCATGTTGGGGACATGAGAGAAGCCTCCCACAAGGGTGGTAAAACATCAAAACATCCCCTGGGCAACGTCCTTTCAGGCGGCCAGTTGTCTCACACTGACTGAAGAGCGAGGATGAGCTCCCTCTGTCAGCTCCAGCTCCCCATGTTGGGGACATGAGAGAAGCCTCCCACAAGGGTGGTAAAACATCAAAACATCCCCTGGGCAACGTCCTTTCAGGCGGCCAGTTGTCTCACACTGACTGAAGAGCGAGGATGAGCTCCCTCTGTCAGCTCCAGCTCCCCATGTTGGGGACATGAGAGAAGCCTCCCACAAGGGTGGTAAAACATCAAAACATCCCCTGGGCAACGTCCTTTCAGACGGCCAGTTGTCTCACACCAGAAGCGACTTGCAGTTTCTCAAGTTTCTCAAGAATCTCTGCAGGAGTCAAGTGTATACCATGCAGCTGTGGACAAGGAGTTTACATAGGGACCACCAAACGCAGCAGCATTGCTCAAACACGAATCAAGGAACATGAAAGGCACTGCAGACCCATTCAAGCAGAGAAGTCAGCCATAGCAGAGCACCAGATGAACCAACCTGGACACAGCATTTTATTTGAGAACACAGAAATGCTGGATCATTCTCACAACCGAACCCTCGGTGGCACAGTGGGTTAAAGCCCTGTGCTGGCAGGACTGAAGACCAACAGGCCGCAGGTTCAAATCCGGGGAGAGGTGGATGAGCTCCCTCTATCAGGTCCAGCTCCTCATGCGGGGACATGAGAGAAGCCTCCCACAAGGATGATAAAAACATCAAATCATCTGGGCGTCCCCTGGGCGTCCTTGCAGACGGCAAATTCTCTCACACCAGGAGTCACTCCTGACACACACAAAAAAATATTCTCACAACCACAATGTCAGGCTACACAGAAAAACCAATGAAACCCACAAATTCAACAGAAAGGAGGAAACCGTGAAAATGAACAAAATCTGGCTACCAGTATTTTAAAAACTCTAAAATCAGGACAGTAAATAAAGAGGAACACTCACACAACAAGGGAGTTCCAGACTAGAATCAATCAGGGCTAGCTAACACCTCCCAACAAAGGATTCCACCAGGCAACAACCAGCCAGGCTTTGAAGCTGCAAGGCCGTTCAATGCTAATCAAGGTGGCCAATTGCAATATTCCCACTCTCCTCAAGCAGACAAGCAAGTTCTTTCTCCCACCCTGGACATTATTCCACAGGTATATAAATTCCCTCCAGCAAAGGATCACCGCCTCGACGTGGTGCTGGAGCTTGAGCACCTCAATGATGCCATGAGCGAAACCGTGAAGGGCCACCCAAGACGGGACGGTCGTGGCAGAGAGGTCAGACCAAGCGTGATCCCTGGGGAAGGCAATGGCAAACCACCCCAGTATCCTTGCCAAGAAAACTAAATGGACCAGTACAACCAGAGATATGTCGGTATGCCATTGAAGGGCATCCTTGAAGTGACTGGACTGACCTTGAAGGAGCTGGGGTTGGTGACAGCCGACAGGGAGCTCTGGCGTGGGCTGGTCCATGAGGTCACGAAGAGTCGGAGATGACTGAACGAATGAACAACAAACAAATATAAATTCCACAGGTATAAGATGAAGTACTTTGGCCATATCATGAGAAGACAGGAAAGCTTAGAGAAGACAATGATGCTGGGGAAAATGGAAGGAAAAAGGAAGAGGGGCCGACCAAGATAGATGGATGGCACCCTTGATCTGACTGGATTGACCTTGAAGGAGCTGAGGGTGGTGACAGCCAACAGGGAGCTCTGCCGTGGGCTGGTTCATGAGGTCACGAAGAGTCGGAAACTATTGAACGAATGAACAACAACAACATATAAACCTCAGTTGCCTAGTTTCCAACAGAGCCCTCAACATCTGAGGATGCCTGCCATAGCTGTGGGTGAAACATTGGGAGAGAATGCTTCTGTAACATGGGCAGACAGCCCGGAAAACTCACAGCAACACAACATTATTGATATCTATATCAATAAAAATGTAATGTTCGTTTGTGGGATTAACGTAACTCAAAAACCACTGGATGAATTGACACCAAATTTGGACACAATACACCTATCAGGCCAATGAGTGACCTTCACTCATAAAAACACTGAAAAACACAGTAGAAGAGACTTAACAAGCCAAAAAACAAAAAAACCAAACCCAAAATTACATTACAGCACATGCGCAACCCCCCCTCCCCATATATATATATATATATATATATGTATGTATGTATGTATGTATATGCAACCACACATACACACACACAAAATACATATACACAGACTGGGCCGCAGCAACACGTGGCAGGGGATGGCTAGTTGTATATAATTTTATTAGTATTATTACATTTCAATATCATTATTTCTATATATTATTATATTGTATATATTGACTATTGTTGCAGGAGACATGATGGAGCTGTGTCTTCCTCGCTGCCCCCTCTTCACTTCGTGGCCTCATATATATATATAGGTAAAGGTAAAGCTTTTCCCTTGACATTAAGTCTAGTCATGTCCGACTCGGAGGGCGGTGGTGGTGCTGATCTCCTTTTCTTAGCCGAAGAGCCAGCATTGTCCGTAGACGCCTCCAAGGTCATGTGGGCTGCATGACTGCATGGAGTGCGGTTACCTTCCCGCCAAAGCAGTACTTATTGATTTCACATTTGCATGTTTTTGAACTGCGAGGTTGGCAGAAGCTGGGGCTAACAGTGGGAGCTCACCCCACTCCCTATATATATATGAATGCTTTTTTGTAACTATTGAAATAACAATATTGAGAAGAAGGGTTTATTTCTTTTTCGTTTGGTGTGTTCGTTTATCTATTATTTCTTTGAGGGCAGGGGCTTATTTTCTTTCTTAATTTGTGTGTGTGTGTGTGTATATATATATGGCTGGATCTACACTACCAAATAATCCAGTTTCTGAATCCTGATTACACTCTGTAACACAATTTTTGTTCCTGGGTTATAAGTGTCATTATTTCCTAATTGGTTCGTTCATTCATAAAAATGTGGGAAAAGTTTATTAAACCACAAAAACGTTGTGTTTTTTGTGGGGGAAGGACACCCTGCAGCACATTAGGCTCTAGTTTTTCAATGGTGATCTCATCATAGAATTTAACCCAATTCAGCCTAATTTGTGGAAACCACAAAAACGAAGTTTCTGGAGTAGAACAACTACTTTCAAAGTAAGGATCGCACAATGAAATGGGAAATGACATCTTCAAACCAGGAACAGAACATTTATCACATTTTGCTACATAGTGTTATAGATGTGGACAGGAGCCACAGTGGCACAATGAGTTAAAACCTTGTGGCAGCTGAACTGCTGACCTGAAGGTTGGTTCCTGACCTGAAAGTTGTGGTTTGAATCTGGGTGACGGGGTGAGCTCCTGTCTTTCAGCTCTAGCTTGCTGGGACATGAGGGAAGCCTTCCAGCGAACCCATCCTGGCAGCCCCTGGGCAACATCTCTGTAGACAACCAATTCTCTCACACCAGAAGACTTGCAGTATGTTCTCAAGTTGCTTCTGACACGATAAAAAATAGATGTAGACATATTGTTTTTGTTTTGAGGGCAGGGGCTTGTTTCATTTCTTTTTTAATTTTTGTATTCATGTGTGGGTGTGTGATATATGACTGTATCTACACTACCATATAATCCAGTTTCTGAATATAAATCAATTCAGGAGCTGGATTATGTGACAGTATAGATGAAGCCTATAGCTTATTTCTTTTTCCACATCAATATAAGCTTCATGATACCTTTTTGAGTGTATGTCTTTGGCTGGGCCTGTGATGATCTCTTCTTCCTCCTCTTTTGTGACACCATCGGCCAGTCACAGTGCCATGAGGCAGCAGCTGCAGAGGGAGGAAACTGGGGGGATTTTGGGGGGGAGAGCCCCAGTGTCGCAGCCTGGCTTCCTTGCAGCTGGACCTTTGAACGATGGAGTTCCTGGGCACCACCCAGACGGCCACCTACTGCGGACCCCGGAAGAGTTGTCTCCTTCCAGAGGTAGCCCCCACCAGCTTGACCCACGACAGCTACCAGGCCTATTACCTGCCAGGCTACCGCTACCTGAGCTCATGGAGACCCAGCCTCTTCTACAAGGTCTCCTCCTTCCGGCCGCTTGAGGACGGCGGCGGGCGGCTCCTAGCCCCTCTCCGGCCGCCCACAGTGCTCCCCTCAGTGCGCTCGGCCCTCTACGCCCGCTACAGTCCCCAGGACTGGTACAAAGCCAACACCAATGCCATCAAGGGCTCTGAGGCCTATCGCCATTGGGCCGGGCGGCTCAATGCCGACTCAACCCGCTTGATGCAGGACAAGGACCAGCTGACCCGGCAGCAGCAAGAGTCTACGGGGAAGAACATTGGGCAGCGGCTGGCCGACATTGACTTCTGGCGCTCTGAACTAAGCTATGAATTGGAGCGGTTGGTGACCGAGAGCCGAGCGCTGGACACGGCCAAGCGGAGGCTGGAGTGTGCGGCCGACGAGGCCCAGGGGCCCTTGCAGGTGGGCCACATGGGGCCCAATTTGGGGCAACACATCCCCAACCTTTGGGAAGTTCTAAGCTACTCCTTCCTCATGGGCAGACATCGCTTTTGACCATTTTGGTGACCCTTCTTCGGACACCTTCCATCATGCCCATCTTCTTAAATTGGACACAGGCTGTCATTCCAAGTGAGGTCTGATCAAAACAGAATAGAACAGGACTATGACTTCCACTTTGAAAAAAACCAGCCCAAATGAAAGGGATCTAGTAGACTCCAAGCTGAACATGAGCTGAGAATGTGATGCTGCAGCAAAAAAGCCAGTGTAATTCTGGGCTGCATCAATAGGAGTATAGAGTCTGGATTGAGGGAAGTTATAGAAGTGTGGAATAATAGAGTTGGAAGAGATCATATGGGCCATCTTGTCCAACTTTCTGCCATACAGGAAAAGCACAAAAAACCCCTGACAGATAGCCATCCATCCTCTGTTTAAATGCCTCCAAGAAAGAAGCTTCCACCACATTCTAATATGATCCTGTTTCCCAGCTCAGTTCAAAAAGCCATTGACTGCATTTTGCATCGATGAACATTTCTGTCTTAATTCTAAATGTGTTCAGAAAGCATTTCTTGGATCTGATGCTGTCTACCAACCTTTAGACATAAAAGGCAGTGCGAATTTCACTCTCTGCATACGAAGTACCATTGTTTGGGGATTGTAAACCATTCCTTTTTGGGACAGATGACTGCCAGTCTTATCATTTTTGTTCCGTTGTGAGTCCAAAACCAGCCATGAGGTGGCAGCTTGCCTTTCCAAATCATTATTCATAGATATATGAATTTTAACATGAAATCTTAAAAATAGAAAGAACCAGCAAGAAACGATTCAACATGTGTAAGGGTCTATAAAGATTTCATTCCTTTGGTTTTTCTTTTTCAGGTTGTCTTGGAATGTTTATACAATCGGGAGAAACGGATGGGGATTGACTTGGTTCATGATAATGTGGAAAAGAATCTCATACAGGTACATTATGGGGTTTAAACATTATTATTATTATTATTATTATTATTATTATTATTATTATTATTATTATTATTATTTCATTAAAAGGACTCAAGTGGCTTTTAGGAGTCATCCAAAACCCCCACAGTATTTTGATTGATATTTTATCTTTCTTTGAATCCATTTATTGTCAATTGGACTTGAAATTTTGCAACAAGTTGAACTTTTTAAAACCGAAATGTCATCTTGAACCCAAATCCAAATTAATATAGTTTAAGGAAGTTTCAGTTGAAGGATATGATATAGTTATTTATTTATTTGTCGTGTCAGGGCAACCAGTCAATTGTATTACATTTCTAACAGAACAAAACAGACAAACAGACAAAATACAAAATTTGTGAGTTTGGTAGTTGAATAAATGTCCTTTAACCAGTATCTGGCCACCCGGCGTGCCTCTGGTGTTGCTGCAAGGAGGTCCTCCATTGTGCATGTAGCAGGGCTCAGCTTGCATTGCAGCAGGTGGTCAGTGGTTTGCTCTTCTCCACACTCGCATGTCGTGGATTCCACTTTGTGGCCCCATTTCTTGAGGTTGGCTCTGCATCTCGTATATGATATAATAATATATATGGATAGGTTTTTAAAAATGGTTTTAAGGGTTTTAACTGTTTATTTTTAATACCGTTAATATCTAATTATATTTTAATGTTTGCATATCTTTAGGCTTTAAATCAGTGGTTTCCAACTTGTGGTCCGTAAACCACCAGTGGTCTGCAAGAATGAAAATATGGTCCGTGAACTTACTATCACTACACTGTTGCCTCAAAACTATGTGGCAATGAAATTGACAGGTCTTGCAAAACCCTCTTACAGTGCCGAGGCAACGGAGATGTCGGGAGGGAAGAGGCTGACTATGCATGGAAGATGATTAATACCACATCAGCTCTAGAATAATTAATACGGTTTTCTGTAAGCAAGCAGATGCTGACTACTGGATGGCATATGTTCTGTATCAGAAACTAGAGCTAATGTGGTCCATCCAATGCAGTTTTCTGAATCAGCACCTCAAATAACCAAACCTAATCTAAAGTTGACAAAAAACTGATTTGTAACCTTTTGGTACTAATGTTGGAGAGCGGTCCCTGGTCAAAGTGGTCCCTGGTCAAAAAAGGTTGGGAACCACTGCTTTAAATGGTAGCTGCCTTGAATCCCTTTTTTAGAGAGAAAAAGTAGGGTGTAAACAACAACAATAAACTAACAATAGGAAATGGCTGTTGAACCTGCTTGACTCTGAAAAGAATTTCATTTCCATTGTTCCAATGGGAAACTCAAGACGGCTTGTCAAAAAGTGAAACAAATGGAGATATAATGATATAGACATAAATAAAAGAAGTTGTTATTGAGGTACAGTTATAATTTCACAAAGATTGCATTCCTGCCTCTTTTATAGGAAACTGATGTGATCAGAACATGTCAGGAGAAAATGAGAAAGCTGGCAGAAAGAATAGAGCAACAAATGGGGTACGTTTTGTGTCCCATTTACAATGGTCTTTTACCTTGAAAAACCTCTTTTAGCATGTTTTCCCTTTGAGTGACAGAAAATTTGAGGGGTTTTGTGGGCTTCGGGTGGCTCTCCTTTATAGGATTACAGTACATTAAAGCTGATTTTCCTGGAAGATATGAACAACAAAATAGCTTTAGACAATCAGAATTGGGAAATGCACTCAAAACATGGATTGAAAACAAGTTTCTCAATTATTGGTAAACCCTGTTGAGGAAAATCTTGATAGCTTCATAATTCAAGAGTTATTCTGATCAAAAATATATGGATTTTTTTATTTGGCATTTTCGGTGCAGAAAACAATGTCTTCTATGTATTTTCTGGGCAGAAAAGTGCATTTCCTGACCAGGGAGTTTATGTTCTACACAAAAATATAAGCTTTTTTAAAAAAATTCTGAAATGGCAAATACTACAGCACGCTAAATCAGCTTCAAATTGTGGGAAACTTATAAAGGGGAGACTTACAAAAAGCCAGTAATGAAGTCCCGAATTGTCAACGGTGCTGAGTTTTTTGACAACTTTCTCTGAGTGGCGATAAAAATAGTCAAATTATTCATTCTTGCCTGTGAGAATGACATTTATGAAGAGGTTGCCAACCCGCTCATGGAATGTATTTGAGATTCAGAACATTAACCCGGGAAATCATGCCCAACTTTCATAGGAAAGAGCTGAAAAAAAGGCTCTGCAAGCCTTAAAAAGCCATTATTCATAGAGGGAAAATCACATTCAAAGCACCCTTGATAGATGGCCACCCAGCCTCTGTTTCAAAGCCTCCAGAGAAGGAGCCTCCACCTCACTCCAAGACAGAGAGTTCCGCTGCTGAACAGCTCTCACAGTTAGGAAGTTCTTCCTCATGTTCAGGTGGAATCTCCTTTCCTGTAATTTGAAACAATTGTTCCTCTTCCTAGTCTCCAGCAGAAAACAAGCCTGGTCTCTCCTCCCTATGATTTCCTCTCACATCTTGATCCATGGCCCTTATCATGTCTCTTTGGCTGGCTAAACATGCCCAGCTCTTTAAGCCGCTCCTCATAGGGCTGGTTCTCCAGATCCTTGATCATTTTAGTTGCCCTCCTCTAGACACATTCCAGCTTGTCGACATCTCCCTTCAATTGTGGTTCCCAGAACTGGACACAGTGTGATTCCAGGTGTGGTCTGACCAAGGCAGAATAAAGGGGGAGCATGACTTCCCTGGATCTTGACTCTAGACTCCTATTGATGCAGACCAAAATTACATAGGCTTTTTAACCTGCCGCATATTGTTGATACTCTTCATTCTTCTGGTCATTTTTTTCCAATGAAGTATTAAAAGCTGGCAAATTCAACAGGTGAAGGATTTCCCAGCAAGAAGATTCAGCAGTTGGGAGTTGTGGTTTCACAAGGCCTTATTTGCCAAACTGCAGCTCCCAAGATCCCATTGCATTGAGCTGTGGCAGTCAAAGTGGTATCAAACTGCATTCATTCAAGGGTGTAGTTGCCACCTTTGATATCACTTGAGTTGTCATGCCTTTGTCTCATGAACTCCAAGGATTTATAGTTTTTTGAGTACATACAAAGTATTGGAATGCATTAGATGTTTTTTCACCAAAATCCAAAATCCAAAATGATGTAGGCGGAAGCCATGACAATTTAGAGGGATTGTTGTAGGTTTTGCAGGCTGTATGGCCATGTTCTAGAAGCATGCTCTCCTGGTGTTTTGCCTGCATCTGTGACAGGCATCCTCAGAGGTTGTGAGGTTTTCACAACCTGAGGATGCCTGCTATAGATGCAGGCGAAATGTCAGGAGAGCATGCTTCTTGAACATGGCCATATAGCCTGAAAAATATACAACAACCCAGTGATTCTGGCCATGAAAGCCTTCAACAATTTAGAGGGGTATCTGAGGCCCCAGCTACACTGTCCTATAATCCAGATTATCTACTATGAACTGAGTTATATGACTCTACACTGCCATATAATTCAGTTCAAAACAGATACCGGTAATCTGGATTCAGAAACTGGATTAAATGATAGTGTAGATGGGGCCTCATATAATGCAGATTGAACTGTGTTGAATTGGATTATATGAGTATACACTGCTATATAATGCATTTCAATCTGCATTATAATGGCAGTGTAGATGGAGCCTAAGAAATATAATAGTGCAGTATGGATGAGATTGGGGCTGGATCTACGCTGCCATCTAATCCAGTTTCAGAATGCATTGAACTGGATTATATGGCAGTGTAGACTCATATAGTCCAATTTCTGAAACTGGATTAAATGGCAATGTAGAATCAGCCACATGGATAGATCGAATGAACAGTCTCTATGTGAGGAAGCTTCTTGAACATACTTTGGCCAAACCTTTTGGTCTGAATTCACAGATGGTTTTGTGTTGTTTTCTCTCCTGTCACTCGTGCAAAATGTTGGACATGTTCTTTGCAATAGCATTAATAGAGACGCGCAACATGCCTTAGAACGGGACCTTCGCGACAAAAACTCAGCCCATTTTATCGACGAGAAATGCTACAACCTGAGGAACACTTCAGACAGCATTAACTATTACCACGGAGTGGAAAAAATTGATGGGACGTAAGTATGAGAAGAGAATAGCTAGAAAGGTAATTAAGAAAGAAATAACAATAATAATAATTTATTTATTACCCACCTCTCTTTTCACCTCGAGATGTGGCATAACATAGTCTATAAAAACAGAGACAGATACAAAAAGCAATTTCCAAGATATTATAGCAATTGTTTCAATGAGCCTCTTGAATTTCCAGAGTATTCGGTTTTGTTGGGATAATTTTGAAAATTAACTTAGGGCAACAGATTGGCAACAATATAGAAAAAAATCGGAATACAGTGAAACCTCCATATTTGCTGGAATTAATGCAGAATGGACTCTGCAAAAGTGGAAAATATGAATAAAAGGACATATTTTAAACTTTTGAGGACATCTCTTTAGTAATCTCTAACTTCCAGTACAACTCTGTGGCCAACTTCTGCAGGAATCCTGCTATTTATTATTATTTGTCGTGTCAGGGCAACCAGTCAATTATATTACTTTTCTAACAGAACAAAGCAAACAGACAGACAAAATACAAAATTTGTGAGTTTGGTAGTTGATTAAATGTCCTTTGACCAGTAGCTGGCCACTTGGAGTGCTTCTGGTGTTGCTGCAAGAAGGTCCTCCATTGTGCACGTGGCAGGGCTCAGGTTGCATTGCAGCAGGTGGTCAATCCTGCTGGAAGACCTAGAAAAATGTTTTTTCTAGGAATCCCTCTGTTCAGCGTTATGGTCAACTTTTGGGAGAAAGTGACCATAGAGTTACACTGGAGGACACAGATTCATAGAGAAAATATACAAATCAATTCAATGAATGTGGAGGGCCAGATGTACAACTACTTGACAAAGTGCATTGCTTAAATTCTATGTATAAAATGTAAATAACACCAGAGCACAAGAAAGCCTTGCTGGGCAGAATCGTACTGGGATATGAATGTTTAATTTCTGATGAAATTTAAATAATGAAAATATACATAATAACAATAAAAATAATAAGATGGTGATGATGATAATGACAAATTATGCATGTTTTAAAAGAAAGTATAAAAGGAAGCTTTGCAAGTTGCAATGGAAGTTGCAACTGAAGAAAAAAAGCTTTAATAATAACAATAGGAAACAAAATTTGAATAATTTTCTGTTCCTGGTTTGAAAGTGTTATTTACTGTTTACTTGTGTGGTACTTACTTTGAAAGTAGTTGTTCTACTCCAGAAACTTCATTTTTGTGGCTGCCACAAACTATATTGAATTGGTTGAGACTTGATGAGATATTCAATGAAAAACTAGAGCAAAATGTGCTGCAGGATGTCCCACAGAAACAAAGTTGTGGCAGTTTAATAGGCCTTTTCCATGGTTTTTTAAATGACAGAACCAATTAGGAAATGACATTTATAATTCAGGAACAAACATCATGTGACACAATGGAATAAATTCAATAATGATAAATGATGCATGTTTTAAAAGAGAACAAAAAGGAAGCATTGCAAGTCGCAATGGAAGATAATAATAATAATAATAATAATAATAATAATAATAATAATAATAATATAATATAGAATTGATGAGACGCAACTAGAAAAGCTTACACGAAAAGATTGAACTGCACAAACCAGTAAAGGTGGTCCCAGTGGTGATCGGCACACTGGGTACAGGGCCTAACGACCTTGGCCTGCACTTAAAAACAATTGGTGCTGACAAAATCAACATCTGTCAGCTGCTCTACTCGAATCTGCACACATTATTCACTGATACATCACACAGTACTAGACACTTGGGAAGTGTCCAATGTGTGATCAAATACAAAAGCCAGCATTGTGATCTTGTTTGCTGTGCACTAATCTTGTTGTGTTTCAAATACTACAACTACAACAACTACTACTACTACTACTACTACTACTAATAGTGCATATTTTAAAAGGAACCCCTGTAAGTCACAATGAAGGGGTGGGAGGTGGGAAGCCAACTTACCCATGACCTGGGTTTCATCCTTAGCCCGACCGATTCTTGCCTTGCAGCGTCTCTGTTCCCGAAACGTGGGCCAAGTTCAGTGATGACAACATCCGCTACTCGCAAAATGCACGGGCCAACACCGCCACCCTCTGCAAGGAGGCCGACCACGTCCTGGAGGTCACTTCGGACGACATGTGGAGGCAGTGGACTGACACCAACTTGGCCTTTGACAGCCGCATTTCAGAAATCGCTGATTCTAAGAACCAGCTGCAGGCCCAGCTGGCCAAGGTAGGGCCCTTGCATTGGGAAACAATGGGTCTGCCGTTGGACAATGCAACAAATGTGTTGCACTTGAAGTGCCTTTGCCCTGTAGAATGAATGCAGTTTTGGACCCACTTTTGCCACCATTGCTCAAGACTATTGTGGGAGTTGTTGTTTGGGAAAGTCCCAGGCAGAGAAACTAAAGAATTTGTAAAAAGTAGGGCCAGTCTATGCCCCCTTCCACACAGCTGAATAAAATCCTACATTTTCTGCTTTGAACTGAAATATATGGCAGTGTGTACTCAGATAACCCAGTTCAAATCAGATATTGTGGGATTTTCTGCCTTGATATTCTGGATGATATGGGCCTTCTGTCATTCCTACCTTTTTTCAAACTCTGAAAAACTTTATAGGCCTCTGATTCAGACTTGAATCCATGGCTGCCCCAAGGCATTCATGTTCTTGGATCTCCACATAAATGTTTCTCACCTTTGATTGCACCTACATTGTAGAATTAATGCAGTTTGGGCCCATTTTAACTAGCGTGGCTCAATGCTGTCGATTCCTGGAAGCTGTAGTTTGGTGGGCATCAAACGGAGAAGCTAAAGGTTTTGGAAAATGGCAACAGCCTTCCACAGGGATCTGAAAACTTGGATGTTCCAGTGTGCATTTGATGATGGTTAGTCCCTGTTCATGAATGCCCACCCCTATTTACCGATAAAATTGTTCTAAGCACTTTAGCCCTAGCCCTGGCCCTATAGTTTGCTTTTTGCACAAGCCCATGCCCAGCCCTCTCTAGTCTGATCATGCCCTTGTCCTGGTTACTGGTTGTGGAGTTTGGTTTGATATACTTTTAATTATGTTTTTATACCCTGCTGCGTTTTTAATTGTTTTAATTGGATTGTTACATGCTATCACATTTTAATTGTGTTTTGAGTTGGTGTATTTTGTTTGTATGTTCTGGGCTTGGTCCCACTTGTAAGCTGCTCTGAGTCCCTTCGGGGAGATGGTGCCGGGGTATAAAAATAAAGTAGTAGTAGTAGTAGTAGTAGTAGTAGTAGTTGTTATTATTTCAAACACAACAAGATTAGTACACAGCAAACAAGATCACTATGCTGGCTGTTGCATTGCATCACATATCAGACACTTCCCAAATGTCTAGGACCGTGTGATGTGTGGTGAATAATGTGTGCAGATCAAACCAGGGTGTCCTTTTGAAGCTGACAGATGGTAATTTTGTCATTGCTGATTGTTTTTGATTGCAGGCCAAGGTCTTTAGGCACTGCACCCAGTGTGCTGATCACCACCGGGACCACCTTTACAGGCTTGTGTCAGAGTCTTTGTGGTTCGATCTTTAAATTCTTGTATCGTGTCACTTTCCCACTTGTTTCCCTTCAATCCTGCTGTCACCTGGGATTGCAACATCGACGATCCATACATTATTATTATTATTATTATTATTATTATTATTATTATTATTATGCCATTCCTCCCTATTTTCAAAAGCTGAAAATCTCTGCCAGTCTTTGATACAAACTTGCAGCAAGTGCTACCCAAAAACATTCTTCTGCTATGCACTTTTGGATTTTCAAATAAACTTTTTCCTTCTTTAGGAAGAAATAAATGTTGTATGGCAATACTAACTGCCATAGCTCAATGTTATGAAATAGTGGATGTTGTAGTTTTACAGTCAGTCAGTCAGTCAGTCAGTCAGTCAGTCAGTCAGTCAGTCAGTCAGTCAATCAGTAGCCTTTATTTCGGTCAACAAACCATCGGCTAAGTCAAGTGAAAGTAGAACGATGAAATACAACAATTAACAATTAATAACATCACATTTGGCTTATAATTAATAAAAACAAGTATCACCATTCGCTATCGGATGAATGACTGTAGTTTTACAAGTTCTTTAGGCTTCTCTGTTTGGTGCCTCACCAAAATATAATAATAATAATAATAATAATAATAATAATAATAATAATAATAATAATAATAATGTTTATTTATTACCCGCCTCCCTTTTTAGCCCAAGGCAGGGCACAACATAAATACATTTATAAAAACACATATTAAAAGATAGTTAAAATGCAACCATAAAAGCATATACAACTCCAGGATGATGATGATGCATGGTGGTGATGATGATAATGATGGTAATAATAATAATTTTATTTATTACCCGCCACTCAGGCAAAAGGGTATAATTGCGCCATGTGGATACACTTTAAAAATACAGTCTGCTAAATAAAATCTTGGGGTACATCTACACTAAAGAAGTGTCACAGTTTGATACCGCTTAGGTCCCACGAGAAGCAGGATATAAATAGGAGAAGAAAGGAGTAGGCTTTCTCGGTAGCAGTAGAATAACAGCTGGAAATGTTTTCGCTTGCCAGAGAGAAGCACAATATTATTTGTGAACTCGGGATATTCCAAATCTTCCCCTTTTCAGCCTCAAGTGGGAAAACAGATGAGATTTTAAGGTCAACCCAAACCCATAAAGAATTAGGGGGAGGAAAGACCCTCTTATCTACCCAGGTGGGCCTTGTCAGCCTTGGCAAGAAACCTGCGGTTGCAGATTGTAACCAAATGAAAGCCACATCGTTGGCAGTAGATCACGCCTGATCATATTGCTCCAAGCCTGCATCGTATGCAGGCCGCCTTCCAGAAATCAGGAAGCAAATGAGAAAAACAGAGGGCTGTAGATGAGTTGCATGCCTGCCAAGCATCCAAACCTGCCCCCAGAAAAGAGCACAGATTGGCCCATTGGCATCCTCCGCCGTTGGTGCTGGTTTGCCTCCGCCTTCATCAGGGAGTGATGGGATTCCTGCCATCCGCTCCTTGATGGAATCATTATTATTATTTTAATTGGGATGACTCTCAGTTGGAATGATCCCACTGCAAAGCTAAGGGGTGGGTGGGAATTCGCCCCTTGCTTCAAGCAGCAAAATGGCTTAGAGTTCCAAGGGAGAAAGAAGGTAGGTACCTATGCCAATTTTACATGCCTTTTAGATGCCATTGCCAGGCAAATGATTCTGAAACATTGACGCATCCTGCCACTTTAAAAAATATCTCATATGCCTTGAACTCTTTATTAACTGCACTTTTTAGTTTTGGCTCGTTTTGTGCATTGCTTGTTTTTGTGTGTTTTGTACAGATTACTACCTTGATTTTCATGTACTCCTACTACCATCACCACCACCACCACTGCTACTACTACTACTACTACTCTTTTAAAAGACACTCAAAGGAGCTAAAGTAATAATAACAATAACAGTATCAACAACAATAATAGTGTTAATGCATCTTACACTTTTTAAAATATCTTGTATGCCTTGAATTCTTAACTTTGCTTTTTAGTTTTGGCTCAGTTTACATATTGCTTGTTTTTATTTTGCACAGCTTAAGATCTTGGCTGTTGTTGTTGTTGTTGTTGATGTTGTTGTTGTTATTATTTATACCCTACTTTCTCTGTCTTAAAAAACACTAAAAGCAGCTAAAATAATAACAACAACACAGGCAGTAATAATACTTTTAATGCATCTTATGCTTTTTAAAATATCTTGTAGGCCTTGAACTCTTTATTAACTGCGTTTTTTGGTTTTGGATCATTTTGCGCATTGCTTGTTTGTTTTTTTGTTGTTGTTGCACAAATTGGTTTTCTATATACATTATTATTATTCTTCATATCCCACTCAAAGCAGCTAAAATAATATCATCAACACCAGCAGTAATAATAATAGCGTTGATGTATCTTACGCTTTTTAACTTGAACTCTATTAACTGTGTTTTTTGGTTTTGGCTCATTTTGTGCATAGCTTATTTTTATTTTGCGCAGATACTATCTTGATTTTTCATATAAATATGAAAATCATCAGTATTATCACTTTTATCCCACTTTTTCTTTACAAAGACTCAAAGCAGTGATGACAACAAGAATAACAGCAGTAATAATAATAATAATAATAATAACAATAATAATATCTGTATGCCTTGAGCCACAAGGATGGGCGGGTTTATTATTATTGTTGTTGTTGTTGTTGTTATTATTACAGATATTTGCATATATGTACATCATGATATATCATGGAGCTAGGACCCAAGTCTAAAAACAGCATTATTTATGCTTCATAGATACCTTATACACATACTGTGAAGTTTATTTGATACACAATATTATTTAATCATTTTGTTGTTGAAACGAAGTTTGTGCATGTTAAACCATCAGAAAGTAAACGGATTACTCTTCATTTGTGGACATTTTCAAATTTTGGAGTTCTTTGGAATTTGGAATTCTGAATAAAGAATTCTCAACCTACAGTTGATATAATAATGCCTCTTCTTGCATGTTTTTCATGGTATTCTTTTAAAGCTGTATACTACATGGAAACAAAGACAAAATACTTTAGGCATGGATTATTTCCATCACTAGCATGATTTTACCTGATCAACTTAATATTCAAAACGCAGGAAAGAATTGTGGCATTGGAACAAAAACCAAGTTGAATATTTTTTGAACAAAGGGATGAGCTTGACATTTGATTCCTGTGTGGCAGATCTCTCTCCGATAACATCCTTTTGAGTTTTCCACCTGATTCAAACCTTTTCCATGCATACAATTCTTCCCAAAACACATCTTTGAAAGACAAATTTATATTAGAGGACAGTAGTCAAAAGTCATGTGTAAAAGATAGGAAAGAACAAAGATTACAGATCTTTTTTTCTCCTTTCAGACCCTTCAACAGATCTTTCAGACAGAAAACACCATCATGTTGCTGGAGAGGGCCATTATGGCCAAGGAGTGTCCGCTCAAGGTGGCCCAGACCCGCCTGGAAGCCAGGACCTGGAGGCCCAACATGGAGTTATGCCGTGACATCCCACAGTTCAAGTGAGTCAGCATCCTCCATCTTCTCCCTCTTCCCCCCAGAAATATGAGGTTTTCCGTATTTCCGTTGTATAGGTTTCCATTTTCTTTGTGTGTCTTTCTTTCCTCCCCCCTTTTTTCATCATACACCTCCTTTCTTTTTCCTCCCCTCCCTCCCTCTTCCTTTTCTTTCTTGCCTCCTTCCTTTCCTCTTCTTTCTTTCAGTCCCTCTCGCCTCTCGTACATTTCCCCCTTCTTTTTTCCCCTTCCTTCCTTCCTTCCTTCCTTCCTTCCTTCCTTCCTTCCTTCCTTCCTTCCTTCCTTCCTTCCTCCTTCCCTCCCTCCCTCCCTCCCTCCCTCCCTCCCTCCCTCCCTCCCTTTCTCCTTTTCTTCTTCCCTCTTTCTTTCTGTCCCTCTCTCCTCTCCATACATTTCCCCCCTTTTTCCTTCCTTCCTCTTCTTTTCTTTCATGCCTTCCCTTCTGTCTTTCTATCCCTCTCTCCTCTCATACATTTCCCCCTTCTTTTTTCCTTCCTCCCTTCCTTCGTCTTCTTTTTCTTTCTTGCCTTCCCTTCTTTCTTTCTGTCCCTCTCTCCTCTCATACATTTCCCCCTTCTTTTCCCTCCTTTTTTCTCCCTCTTCTTTCTTTTCCCTCTTTCTTTCCTCTTGCCTCCCTCCCTCCTTCCCTTTCTTCCTTTCCCTCATATATTTTCCCCTCCTCTCTTTTTCTTGCCTTCTTTCCTTCTTCCATTGCTTTACATCATGCACCCTCTCTCTACTTCTTTCTTTTCTTTCTCTTCCATTGTTTTTATTTCTTCCCTTCCTTCGTCCCTTCTTTCTTCCCTCCCTTTCCTTCCTTTTTCTCTCTTTCGCTTCCTTCTCTTTCTTTCCCTTCTTTCCCTTTTCCCTTTCTTATTTTCCTTCTTTCATTCATTCCTTCCTCCCTTTTTCTCAGACAGATGGAACCTAGTTACAGCAATCTGCTTCACTTCCTTTCTTTCCCAGTGACATCACAGAGGGCTACTTTACCTAACAACAGGCAACCCTTCCCCTAACGATAGCCAATCCACTTTGCTTCTATTCCTTTCTTCTGCTCTTTACCTGAAAGCGGTGTACTTTTTAGTTAAAACCTACCAATTATTTTAAGTTGGATAATGAAGGAAATATGTGCCAAGTTTTTTTCTGGATCCATCAAGCAGCATAGAAGCCTTTGTGTGACAACCAACCAACCAACATACACACAACTTTGACTTTTGATAGATAGATAGATAGATAGATAGATAGATAGATAGATAGATTTGTAATTACTCCAAGTGCAGTAAAACACAGATTTCCAACCATGGTGGGCAACAGTCCCAAATACATTTACAGTAGGATCCAGCTTTGGAGCAAACATGCTTCAGGTTGCCGGTCTATTTGTCCTTCCGGGGAGAGAACTACTATGTTTCTTTTGTGTATTTATTTTGGCTTATTCAACCTGGAAAAACAAAACATTGCCGCCTGAATATCCTTTGATTGCATTGTGTCAATATTCAGTCTCTGAGGAGCCTTCCCTCAATGGAAACACACACACACCCATACACACATACACACACACATATATATGAGAGAGAGAAAATACAGTTGGGAGGGATCAGGCCAGGAGCTGTGGAGTTAAAGGAAGCAAACACTCTCAAGAGCTGTTTTGCTGAAAAATAAGCTCCATTGATTTGCTCCTGGTAATTAACTCGGACAGATTTGCCAAGGTATTTTTAGGTTCCTGTTCTCGCACAAAAGAGAAGCAAAACAGCTGCCAAGATCAGACACAACCTGTGCCTTTAGGGCATTGAGGCCACCCGGCTATCGGTTTGTTGTTGTCATTCATGGATATTAAAACAAAAAGAGGGAGAGATCTCATATTTTTGTTGTTGTTGGATGCCTTCAAGGCATTTCTGACTTATGGCAACCCTCTGATGGGGTTTTCTTGGCAAGAATTGTGCTCAAGAGGTTTGCCATGGCCTTATTCTGAGGCTAAGAGAGTGTGTCTTGTCCAATGGCTGTTCCTATCTGAGCGAGGTTTGAAACTTGGCCTCCAGAGGCTTTTAAAATACAAATTTTTATTGAATCTTCACAATATATAGTTCAGTGTTCAGTGGCTTTCTAGGTAAAAGTACATGCACATAACTCTCTATTCGTTCTTCCATTCTCCTCTATCCTTTTATCAATTCTACTATTCTCTGTTCCATTCCTCTGTTTTATGTATTTTAAATAGATTTTTATTTTTAGTTAGCTCTAGGTTTCATTTTATTTTAGTGTTTCAGGTTTCCAATTGTATATTGTATCATTTGTAGCACTGTTCTGTTGTTGTTGTTAAATTTATTTCTTTTCAGTTTTATCTCTCTAAAAAGAGACCCAAAGCATCTAATTTTACAAACAGTGAAATATATAATTTCAAACGTAAAAAAACATACAAACGTAAAGACCTGATAAAACATAGAAATTATGAAAATGGAGAAATAATAATAATAAGGCTCAAAGTACCGTTGTTTTGTTGTTCTTGTTGTTAATAAAATTAGTACACAGCAAACAAGATCACTATATGCATCATAGAATCATAGAATCATAGAATCAAACAGTTGGAAGAGACCTCATGGGCCATCCAGTCCAACCCCCTGCCAAGAAGCAGGAATATTGCATTCAAATCACCCCTGACAGATGGCCATCCAGCCTCTGCTTAAAAGCTTCCAAAGAAGGAGCCTCCACCACACTCCGGGCAGAGAGTTCCACTGCTGAATGGCTCTCACAGTCAGGAAGTTCTTCCTAATGTTCAGATGGAATCTCCTCTCTTGTAGTTTGAAGCCATTGTTCCGCGTCCTAGTCTCCAAGGAAGCAGAAAACAAGCTTGCTCCCTCCTTTCTGTGGCTTCCTCTCACATATTTATACATGGCTATCATATCTCTTCTCAGCCTTCTCTTCTTCAGGCTAAACATGCCCAGTTCCCTAAGCCGCTCCTCGTAGGGCTTGTTCTCCAGACCTTGATCATTTTAGTCGCCCTCCTCTGGACACATTCCAGCTTGTCAATATCTCTCTTGAATTGTGGTGCCCAGAATTGGACACAATATTCCAGGTGTGGTCTAACCAAAGCGGAATAGAGGGGCAGCATTACTTCCTTAGATCTAGACACTATGCTCCTATTGATGCAGGCCAAAATCCCATTGGCTTTTTTCATCATCATTATTATTAGAAGCACAACAAGATTAGTACACAGCAAACAAGATCATTCTGCTGGCTTTTGTATTGGATCACACGTTGGACACTTCCCAAGTGTCTAGGACTGTGTGATGTATTGGTGAATAATGCATGCAGATCCGAGTAGGGTGGCCTTTTGCAGCTGACAGATGGTAATTTTGTCAGCACCGATTGTTTTTAAGTGCAGGCCAAGGTTTTTAGGCACTACACCCAGTGTGCCAATCACCACTGGGACCACCTTGACTGGCTTGTACTAGAGTCTTTGCATTATTATTATTGATATACAACAGCAAACAAGATCACTATGCTGGCTTGTGTATTCAATCACACATCAGACACTTCCCAAGTGTCTTAAGACTGTGTGAATAATGCGAATAATGCTATTATTATTATTATTATTATTATTATTATTATTATTATTATTATTATTATTTCTATCTTGACTTATCTCTCTAAACTCAAAACATCTAATGCTAAAAAAGCAATATATAATTTTAAACCTAAAAAAATCAAACATACAAACATTAAAATCGGATTAAGTGTAGAAACTATTAAAATAAAGAGGTAATTTTAATAATATTCATAGTTATTTTTCTTTATTACCCACATTGCTTTTACGTCTCAGGGCACAACGTAGTTAAAATACATCATCATCATAAAATACATTCCATAAAAATGTAATAATATACATATTAACAAAAATTAAAACGCAATAAATATAGAATGTTAAAACCATTAAAATCTATTCACATCCCTAAAATGCTTCCACACATCCTTGCTTTGAGTATCTTTAAGAGAGAAGCAGCAGCAGCATATAAATATAGGGTACTGTTCTATTATTTGGGCAGAGGCCACTAGGGGGCGGGAGAGAGAGAAGGATAGTCAGTTTTATGGGGGTGAAGAGTGGGTCGAAGGAGGAAAACCATTTCCCCCCTGTTTTCCTGTTATTCCCCTTTTTGTGGAAATTGTTTTCCTTCTTCAACTCTTCCCCCCCACCGCCAAAATGATGTTTCTTTCTCTCTCTAGCGACCCCTAGTGGCCTCTGCCTGGATAATGGAAAAGTATCAAATAGTATCATAATGTATTGTCGAAGGCTTTCGTGGCTGGAATCACTGGGTTGTTGTAGGTTTTTCCGGGCTATATGGCCATGTTCTGGAGGCATTTTCTCCTGACGTTTCGCCTGCATCTATGGCAAGCATCCTCAGAGGTAGTGAAGTCTGTTGGAATTAGGAAAATGGGTTTATATATCTGTGGAATGACCAGGGTGGGACAAAGGACTTTTGTCTGCTGGAGCTAGGTGTGAATGTTTCAACTGACCACCTTGATTAGCATTTAATGGCTTGGAAGTGCCTGGGGGAATCTTGTTGAGAGGTGATTTGATGTAACATTCACACCTAGCTCCAGCAGACAAAGTCCTTTGTCCCACCCTGGTCATTCCACAGATATATAAACCCATTTTCCTACTTCCAACAGACCTCACTACCTCTGAGGATGCTTGCCATAGATGCAGGCGAAACGTCAGGAGAAAATGCCTCTAGAACATGGCCATATAGCCCAGAAAAACCTACAACAACCCAGTATCATAATGATAATAATAATAAATGTGTTAATTTTGACCTCCCTTGAGCTCTCTGAAGGGCTCGGAGACTTTTCTCCTCCTTCACTGGGATATTATCTTCCCTCTTCTTCCTTTTTGTGAATCAGGTACAAAAACTCATTTTTATAAATGAGTTTGGAGTTTTTGGGGATGTGCTCACTAATGTCTAGTTTTAGTTCAAAAGACCACCAACCTCTTATTTGGAAGGATCCAAAGAGGAGCTATCTTTTCCAAGGGCACCTGGATGAACGCCATTTATGGGAGGGAGGAAAGATAGTATCTCCAGCAGCTCTTTCGCTGCCGGAGGCCTTTGCAGGCCTTGGCTGAGCATCAAAGGGGTTTTGTATCTGAGCCGTTGGCTTTCTGACGTTCTCTCCCACATGCAAAAAGCGGTCAACAGGTCGCAGGCAAGTGTGGTTTGCGATGATTAGAACAAAGCCAACACCTCCCTTTCTGGACTCTGGCCACCAGAATCCCCTCTTCTGTAGAACCCGGATGGCATCCCTGAGGTTTGTAATATATCAAAAGCAACCCTCTTCTAGCTTTGAATGTATACTAAGTTGGGAGCCCATGGCTGCACCGTCCAAGAGCACAGAGAAAGCAATAAAGCTATAAAACCAAACCCCAGCAAACTGAAATCTAGAGCAAATAAATAAAGCCGCAGAGCTGGATCAAGTAAAACCGAGAACAAAGAGATCCAGATCCAGAGAGCTTGTTTAAAACATAATTCAATAGGACTGTGGGCAGCACAAGGTTGTTCCCTGCGTGTTTCTCTTTAAATTAAGTAGTAAAAGCATTTAATATACTTGGCAAGTGTTGTGAATTGGAAGGGACGGTACCTAGTTATCCTCTGCTGTCTCATTTCATCCGCTGCTTTAAAAATGTCCCAGTTTCAAGGTATTTCCATGTGTTTTGCATTGGAACTGATTATGCTCCCCACATTCTGCTCAAAGTAGACCCATACTATATTGATCTAATAATAATATTGATAATAATTTAACTGTTTAATGTACAGTAAATAATAACAACAAAACTCCAGGTTATTATTGTGGAGATTAAGATCCTCCGCCATTGTCACAGGCAGGATTGGTGGGGACAAGAGACAGGGCCTTCTCGGTGATTGCTCCCTGGCTATGGAACTCTCTTCCTGGTGAGATCAGGTCGGCCCCCTCCCTCCTGTCCTTTAGAAGGATGATAAAAACTTGGCTGTGGGACCAAGCTTTCAGGACAGGGCAATAAAGCAGCAATAGGAAAGATGACCAGGTCAATTAGACTTGATGCGGATGACTAGGACGGTTTTAAATGGTATATTTTAATATTTTGATAAATGTTTTTTAATGTTTATGTATTGTATGTGAATTTGTGTCCCGGCATTGAATGTTTGCCGTGTATATGCTGTGCTCCGCCCTGAGTCCCCTTCGGCGTTAGAAGGGTGGAATATAAATGCTTTAAATAAATAAATAAATAAATAAATAAATAAATAATTCTTTATGATCATTACTCTTACTGCTATTATTGTACTACTATTATAGAGTAAATAACAACAACAGTAATAGTAAGAACTATAATACCCTATAATAATGATAATATGAATAATAATTTACCACATGAATAAAAATTGAAAAAAAAATCTGTTCTTGAAAAAGTCATTTCCTGTTTTAATTGTGCAGTCCTTACTTTGAAAGTAGTTGCTCTACTCCAGAAACTTTGTTTTTGTGGCTACCATAAACTATGTTTCATTGGTTGAGACTTGATGAGATATTCATTGAAAAACTATCGCAAAATGTGCTGTAGCAGGATGTTCCACTTGTAATTTAATAAAAAATTTCCATGTTTTTATGATAGAACCAATTGGGAAGTGACATTCATAACCTAGGAACAAAAATCATGTTACGTAGTGTTTTTATTATTATTATTATTATTATTATTATTATTATTATTATTATTATTAGTTATTTTTGTTGTTATATAATATACAATAAACAACAACAACAATACACTCAACAACAATATAATACTCATATTATTGTTGTTGTTGTTATTATTCCTCCTTTCTGGCCATATGAACTCAAGGTAGCTAACAGTGACATGATAAAATCCAGTAGAATTTAAAAACAAGGGAAATGCATATATGTGTGAATATAAATAATAAAAACCAATTAAATGTGTCATAAGTGAGTGCAAAAGTTAAAATACAATTACATTTTAAAACTAGGCAGCCCCCATCTGGCATTCAGAGAGTGGTAGTCCAAAAAGAAGAACTGCCAGTAAATCTCAGAGACTGTAGATGACACAGAGGAGGGGACTGGCAAAAGCCACCCTTTCTGAGGATCCCTTTCCTATAAATTTATGGGATTCCTCATAGGTGCAGAGGTGACCTGATGACGGTACATGGTGGCGCATAAAAGTGGCCTTCTCCAAGCGTAAAGGGAATTGGGGGTTCCTCCTGCAAAATCCCTTTCGGAGCTGCGGCATTTCTTTCTTTTCTGTCCTTGTAGGCTGGTGAATGAGGTCTTCACCATCGATGACACGCTGCAGACGCTGAAGCTGCGACTGCGCGAGGCCCAGGATACCCTCCAGCTGCTGATCTTCAACAAGGCCAAGCTGGAGCATGATCTCCTGGTGAAGGCCAACTCCCTCTTCATCGACAAAGAGAAGTGCATGGGCATGCGCAAGACCTTCCCCAGCACCCCCAGGCTGGTGGGCTACGTCTGAGTCCCCGGATCCCCTGAGGCTCCCTCCAACCGGCCTATAAACAGATGGCAAATCATGGGAGACCTGTCCTGCTCGTTTCTCTCCCCCCCCCCCTTATATTTTAGCCGAGCGAAGAAAGGAAGGCATGAAATAAACTGAGAAGGAGCGTAAGCTCAATCCAAACAAGATTCCGGGTTTCCTTGCTTCCAGAAATCCAGAGAACATCCTGTGAGAGAGGTAGGCTATTCCTCTGCCCTGGTGCATTTTGGGGAGGAAATGGCATTAACACCGTATTCTAAATGCGTCTTCAAGGTTTCATCTAATGCAGTTTGATACCACTTGAACTGCCACTTGTAGTTTCTCCCAAATCTAGAATTCTACGACTCAGTGCTATGGATTCCTAGGAGTATTAGCTATACGAGGTCTTGAGCCTTGAGAATTGGGGCCTCACCAAATGACAACTCCTATTATTCCATAGCTTTAAAGTGGTGTCAAACTGCATTCATTCCACAGTATAGACGTACCCTGAGTGTGATGTACTTTCAATGAGCTATCCAAGGTGCTGAATTTAAATGGTTGTGAATTGGCTTCAACATTTCAGACTGAAGTCCTTTAAATTATGGACTGAATGTGGAACGGATTCGCAGCCTCATTGGCAGGGGATCCATAGCGTCTATTTATGGCAATTATATGTATGTCTTCTCTGTCAGGTTTAATAATATAGGATTCTGGTTTTGTGTGGGTTGTGTTGGCTTTTTTGGCACATTTGGAGCTCAGATTGGCAAGCTTTTTGCTTCCTTGTTGATTCAAGTTGCAAAAGGGTTCTGTTCATCTGCACTTAACAGAAGAATTCATGAAAGTCAAGATTCTGATTTTGTGTGGTTTGCATTGGTTTCTTTGGCAAGTTTGGGGCTTGAAGCTGCAAGATTTATAATTTCTCTTTTTATCTGAGTTGTAATAGCAACCTGTTTGTTAGAACTTAAGCAGAAGTATAGGTAAAAGGCCTTATTGTGGAGTGTGACAAAGAGATTTGACAGGGAACATGGGGCACTATGGGGAGTGAAAATGCAGCCCTCCTTTGAGGCTGAGAGAGTGAGACTTGCCCATATTGGTTCAATGGACAAACTTGTGTGGTGATGTCATTTTTTGGATTTAAATTGCTACAGACCCAGCAGTCAGGTTCTTGAATGTGTTGGCCCCCCAACCTGTAACCCATCTGTGTAAGCCACCTTGAGTCTCACAATTGGGAGAAAGGCATGATAAAATCAAACAACAAAAGTAGTTTTGCAGCAAAGGCTGCCTTTGTCGAATCAAGACCCACTGGTGTCCAAAATCAAGGCTGCTCCCATTGTAGGTGATGAATAGATCTATTTTCCCTTGTTTGCGCCCAGCAGACGTGTCTGGACAGCCATCGCAAATAACAGAGGAACAAGATGAGTCACAAACAAAGCTGTGGAGGGAAGCGACATCCCTCCAAGTCTGCGGAAGAGGCCTGGAAAAGTGCCACCAAACAGGGGAATTGTTTTAAGGGGTCTTTTGCACCCCAGATGGGCATTTCTACATACCAGGGTTCAAAACCCTTGTTGGATCTTGAGGAGTCCCGCTCTTGACCGGTCTTGAGTTCTAATTCTCTCCCAAGAGCATCACTGCGGTCTGATGTTTTGTTGAGATTGCGATTTCTTCTACAATGCAGCCACATTCTTGGTCTTCCTTAGCAAAGTTCGGGTTTGAGGCGAAAACAAAGCGGCATTTTGTTCTTCCCTCTGGATGGCCCTCAACAAATGGCCACTTATATTGAGGCCCATCGCTGGCTGGGAGGGAAAGGCACAAAATAAACAATTAAGATGCCTCTTAATGTTGTCAGACTCTCTGCATAGAGGACATTCCTTCATGTTTGCGAAGTGGACTCTGTTGGAATCAGGCGTAGCTACTTGTTCTGACTGCAAAACAACCCAAAGTGGGACAGAAGTCAAGCCCAGACGGCAGACCACTGGACCGTCCATCCCAGTGGACCCTTCAGAGGTTTCTTCTTGACCCAAAATGACCTTTTTTAGACATGGCGGGCATTTATTGGCACATTTTTGTTAAGTCTGGGTCATTCTAGGCCCAAGGAAATCCTTTTTTAAAGTGGTGTCCTTGTGACTAACGTGGTCCAAGGGGCCTAAAAATCTCCCCAGATTCAAAATGGCTCAGGGAGCCTAAAAACAACATAAACATACATCTTGTAAAAGGCATTTGAGAGCAAAAATGATTTGGGAAGGAATGATACAACACTTCAAGATCTCCTTAGCCTCCCACTTTCTGATCTGAGCTAATATTATCAATCCTAAACAGAAGCATCTTTCAAAGATCTTAAAGATAAAGTCTTTTCTCATCCCCTTTGGAAGGCTTTTCTTCTTTTGGGTGCCCATCTCGTCCCCTCCTTTTGTCATAATCTACAACCAGATTGTTCCTTCTACCATCTGAGTATCCAGATGTGGATTAAACCATTACCACAAAGGCATTGCTGTGTTGTACGAAGCCAGCGTTCAAGGGAACGTTCTCAATTCAGGCTATAAATTAAAGAGGGGATGGCTTTGCGGAAACATTTGGCCTTTGATTAGAGCCAAATACTTGAGCTGGTAGCTTGCAAGGAATCAATCCAAAACGTTGAAGACACGAATCAGTTGAACTGGACACATATCTCAGAAGATGTGGAAGGCTTTGTTGAGTTTGCCATATATTCCCATATCTGCAGGGCAACAAACCCCAAAGATATGAATGGACAAGGTGCGATGCACAATCCACTGGACAAACCATGTCAAAACATCGATATGGGATTAATGTTTTTCCCTAAAAGATATATATTTAACAGTGGTGTAACAAATTGCATGTTTAAAATATGACAGTATGAGAAGTCAGGGCTGGACTTTAAGACAGGGTTCTTTTGCTGTGGTGCAGTGTGGTAAACCACTGAGGTGCTGAACTTGCTAACCAAAATGTCACAGGTTCAGATCAGGGAAGTGGTGGGAGCTCCCGCTGTTAGCCCATCTTCTGCCAACCTAGCAGTTCAAAAACTTGCACATGTGAGTAGATCAATAGGTACTGCTCCGGTGGGAAGGTAACAGCGCTCCATGCAGTCATGCTAGCCACATGACCTTGGAGGTGTCTAAGGCGGCTCTTCGGCTTAGAAATGGAGATGAGCACCAACCCCCAGTTAGACATAACTGGACAATGTCAGGGGAAAAACGTTACCTTTTTCTTTTATAGCTCAGCTGCGTTGAAACGTATTTATTTATTTTGAGACATTTATATGCTGCCCTTCTCACCCTGAAGGGGACTCAGAGCGGCTTACAAGATACACACACACATACATTATACCAGAAGCACAGTACAATATCAGCACTATACATCACTATATTGTACTATACAATTATGTTGTAATATTATTAGTAATATTACATGTAATACAAAATATATAATTATAATATATTATTATTAGTAGTATTGTACTGTATTACATTATAATTTCATAAATATTATATGTATATACAATATAAGCATAGTACAGAATATGCATTGCTCTTTTTAAAATGAAAAAAGGATTCAAAATAGAGGCAAATGCAATACATCTCAGACAAAACAAGTGGTTTCTTTGGAAGGATTGATATAAAGATCAAAGTCCTGTTCCCTGTTTCACCATGAAGCATTCGCAGTCACCTGCGACTCATAACCTTTGCATTACTCTTGTGTGCAACTGGATTGCTGACTTGCAGCCTTTTGTCCACCATTCGCTCAGACATCTTCTGTCATTCAGAGACCAAACCCAGATGCCCTCCGTTTCCAGCCAAATCGTCCTATTCTTTTGCCTGTTCTCCTTCTCTCTGGTTGGGAGGTTTTTCAGAAACTTAGAAACAGGAGAAGGAAAGGGGAAGAGCCAGGGGCATTAGGTGGGAAGGGCAAGGGACTTTGGCTCTGCAAAAGGTCATCTGGCGCCAAGAGTCGTTTGGCCGTTTGGATGGCCAAATATTCAGAGAACAGGCTGGTGGGTGTGAAGCAGGCCTGGCGCAAACAAAAGTGTTTTCAGGGAAGAAAGAGCGCCTGTTCCAAAGGGGGAAGAAGAAGGATCCGGCCCTGAAGCCAGCATGGGTTTCGACTTTGTACAAATGTCAAGGAGTGAGGGAGGGAAGAATGGCATTGCCTGGATTACAGGCCCAGAAAGCTTTCTCCAAAACTTTCTCCCGACAACATCCACAATATTGCCCACTGGTAGAGGAATCTTCTGGGAAAATAGCCATGTGATGCCTTCCTTTTGAAGGTGCCTTTGTGGATTCAAGTCAAATTGTGGCTTTTTAGGAAAACCTTTGATGTCCAGTTGATTCCATCCAATTTGCCCACATGTTGTGTCCAGTATTCTTTTAAATGGCTTTAAGTGATCAGTAAATCACTGATCTTTTGGGAAACCATTGCTCTTGTTATGCTTTATCTGCTGAATTGGTTTTATGGCCTTGAGATGCTGATAAACAGGACAGGAAATTCTCTCTCTCTCTTTCTCTCTCTCTCTCATCCATCCATCTATCCTATCTACTTGTTCTTGACTCCTCTATCTATCTATCTATCTATCTATCTATCTATCTATCTATCTATCTACCATCATCTTATTCACCCATGCATCCATCTATCTATCTATCTGGAGCCCCCAGTGGTGCAGTGGGTTAAACCACTGAGCTGCTGAACTTGCTGACTGAAAGGCTGCAGGTTCGAATCTGGGGAATGGTGTGAGCTCCCACTGTTAGCCCCAGTTTCTGCCAACCTAGCAGTTCAAAAATATGCAAATGTGAGTATATCAATAGGTACTGCTCCGGCAGGAAGGTAATGGTGCTCCATGTAGTCATGCTGCCCAAATGACCTAGGAGGTGTCTACGGACAACGCCAGCTCTTCAGCTTAGAAATGGAGATGAAAACCAACCCCCAGAGACAGATACGACTGGACTTGGTGTCAGGGGAAACCCTATTTTTCTATCTATCGTCTTATTCATTCATGCATCTATCTGTCTATCTCTGTCCTATCTGCTTATTTTCTCTTCTCTTCTATGCATATATGTATTCTGTCTGTCCATCTGTCTATCCTGTCTGCCTGCTATCTATCTAATTTGTCTCTCAGTCAAATTACCTCAGTCAAACTACCTCTCTCGCTCAGTATCATCTA